AGGGAGGCGCAAAACCTGGTCCCACTCTTGCAGCAGCTACTTGCCGAAGTGAAGGGCTACATGCATGAGCTTGGGTTCACATTGAACTTTGCACGTGGGAAAACCAGCGCTGTTGTTTCCTTTAGGGGGCAAAATGCAGCCAAGCTCCGGCAGCAATTCCAGTTGGTGACCAAGCCTGGTATTCATTGTACCTTCAAGGACGGGACCGAACACTGGCTCCATTTTGTACCGGCATATAAGCACCTGGGCACTGTTTTCACATCCGATCATGGGTTGGATCTTGAGATTAGCTGTCGCATAGGTGTTGCCAAAGCCGCGTTTGCACATTTGTCCAAGCCTTTGTTGACAAACAGACATTTGCCGGTCAAGACACGCTTGCAATTATTCCAAGCTTTAGTGAGCACCAAATTATTCTTCGGCCTTGGAGCGTGGACAACGCCCACACCAAAACAGTTGCAGCGGTTAAGTGGTTTTTGGATCAATACGCTTAAGAAAGTTTTGCGACTGACACCTGAGCGCTGGTCCATCTCTGCAGCACAAGTCATTGCTGCCGCTGACACTGTTGGGGTGCGGGCGAGACTTGCATTGGATCGGTTGTTATACGCCCAACGGCTTTTTTCAGTTGGCCCTTCCTTTTTGCACCATTTAGTGCACTTGGAATTTGAAAGTTCGCCCCATTCATGGTTGGAAGGTTTGAGGGCTGACTTGCAATGGGTCTCTGATATCATGCCTCAGTCATTGCCGACAGGATGGGATCATGACATGACATCTTTGTTTGAGATGTGGCAAGCAGGTGGCAAGGAATGGCGGGCCTTAGTTTACCGTGCTGTCCGCATCCACAAAAAAACAAGAGCATATCATTGCCGATGTCCATAGATTCCATCACAAAAATTTTGCCACATTGCGTGACGTTGGGGCAGAATTTCAGCCAGAGCCGTTCCATTTGATGCCAGATGAATGCACCTTCACCTGTTTCTGCGGGAAATGTTTCAGCACGAACAGAGGGTTGCTTGCTCATCAAAGAAAACAACACCAAGTATTTTCACCAGAACGTCCCTTTTTGCAAGGTGCCACTTGTCTCCATTGTGGGAGATACTGCTGGACGACCCAGCGCCTGCAGCAGCACCTCTCTTACATTCCAAAGAAGCTCGGATATAATCCGTGCTATGTTGCACTACAGCGTCAGGGCCGGTCAGTGACTTATGAGTCTACGACTTTTCCTCATGAAGTCCTTGGTTTGGCCAGAAGAGAAGCTCTGCAGACAGCAGGACCAGAGGTGGAGCAAGTCACTGTAATAGAAAGGCAAAGGGAGGAATGGTCTCAGGAACTAGAGCGATGTCTTAGCCAGCTGGAGTTCTCGGTTTTGCCGGAGGACCCTCTCCAATGTGGGGCTGACCTGGGAGATGCACTCTCCTGTGCCACACAAGCCTGGTTTGAGCGCTTTTATCCACAAGGCCCCTCTGTGGCGGAGAAGCAACTGTTGCCGGAAGCTTGGTTAGGTGCCATGTGTGATACCCTTGAGGCCACTGTCCTCGCCATTGATGAATGGGTGCAGTTTGCATTCCTTGCTTGGGGAGATCATTGGTTGCCAGATATCGTTGCGCAGCTCCTGGATGGACAGGCTGAGTATGATGTGGAGGATCTCTATGCAGACTTTGTAGCTGATCTACCTAGATTTCAAACATTGTCACGTATCTCTGCCTTACGCAGCAGTTTACGCCATGTGCATGATGAACCACCGCAGGCGCATCGACAGAAGGTATCACCAATTTTTGGGCCTCCTCGGCATCCCACAGCCCACACGAAGATCCAGCAGGCTGTACCAAGACCGTACGGTGAACAAGAGGAATGGAGTGCTCGGCTGAGACAATGCAAGTTTGCAACAATGCCTACAATTGCTGCATGTCCTCTCTACCGGACGCTCCCAGATATTCCGACATTTCTCTTTGTACACCTTTTTAGTGGTAGGAGACGTACTGGCGACTTTCACATGGAGCTGCAGAACTTCGCTTTACAGAAGAACTGGCGGGTTGTGATTTTGTCGTTAGACACTGCTGTTTCTATTGAATATGGCAACCTCCTCCACCATACAGTGTCTTGGAGGGCGCTGGAGGAATGTTACCTTGCTGGAAGGATAGCGGGGACCCTGTGTGGTCCACCGTGCGAGACGTTTAGTGAAGCTCGATTCACTCCTCCACCTGAGGGATCCGATCACTGGCCACGACCGTTGCGCTCATTCGCACAGTTGTTTGGTTTAGAGGGATTGTCTGCACGAGAATTACGCCAGTGCCATACTGGCGGTAATTTCTTTTTGCAGTGTGTTTGGGTTTTGGCTGCGCACATTGCCTATGGCGGCATCTTTGTGGCGGAACACCCTGCACCCCCTTTTTTGGAAGAGAGACCGAGTATCTGGACGAGTGCGGTGGTACAAACACTGTTGCAATTGCCTGACTTGGTATTGCATCGCGTGCAACAATATCGTTGGGGCGCCACAGCAGTGAAGCCAACCGGCCTGTTGGCATGGAATCTACCATTCTTTCGCAAGGACTTGTACAGTCTTTCTTTGCCTGATCCTGTCAAACCTGACACTGCCGCGATAGGGAAAGACGATCAGGGCAATTTTAGAACTTCCAAACACAAAGAGTATCCCAAAGCTTTTTGCAAAGCATTAGCCTTTGTGGTTGCACAGCAATTCGAGCGTTTTGTCCGCAGTCATGGGACGAGATCTTGCCCAGCTGCACCAGAGGTTCTGGACCAGTGGATTGCACAGGCGGCGGCAGCCTCTACACCGGTTAGAGACGACAGCCATTGGTTGCCAGATTTTCAACACCTCTGAAATTCGAGAGTGTGCATGGCAGCAAGGGGTACCCCCTTTTATGCAGCAAATGGAAAAAAATGGCCATGGAAAATGGCCCATAGAAATAGATGGTTTACCTGGGTTTACCTATTAAAAATGGTGGATCTTTCCATGGCTATGTTAAATAACCAGATGGTATAAGACAATAACTAATGCATGGTAAATAATGGTGATTAATCAGATAATAAGTATTACCATGATAATAGTAGTTAATGGTAATTAATATAAGATAATATAATATACTTGATAATACTAATAAGATAATAGTATTTGGTTATCACTCCAATTGTAACATAATAATGGTAATTAATGGTAATCACACTAGTGGAAAGCTAAGAAGTGATTATGAATGATTATATAATGGTAATGATATGCGCATAATAATGTCATTAATAAGATAATAAAGGTAATCACAGTAGTGGCTTTTCACTATCTTATTTAATAATTAATGTTTATTAGATAACTCAACCACAATTCATGATTCTGATAAATGGTTAATACCATTATAGCCATTACTTCGGCTCTTATACTAATAAATGGTTGGAGTTGTCTCGTTATAGTCGATTTTGTACTTATTTATTGATTAATATAATTGATTGTAACTAGTGATTGTCATTGTGAGCTACTGATTGCAATCATTGATTAACTGTACTGGCTAGTTATCTCATAGGTTTCTAATTGTGTGTCAATAGTAATTGTAGCGGTACCGGATCATAAGCCATTACTCATTAAGATGAATTTATGAGAACAATCAGTGTAATAACAATAATAGTAACAATAGTAACTATACTATAATATAATGACGAACCGAATGATAATGATGATAATAGTAATAATAGTGAAAATAAGTGTAATGCACTATCGTTATTGTTCATTGTCATCATTGCCAGATAGTAATGTGATCAGAATAATTTGCCGGCCAATAATGCATGATCACAACCATCATACTAAGAGTTCCTAGGTCAAAAGTCATCTGAATAGTTCATCATAAATTGCAATGACAAAATATGATAATAGATGACTAATATATAAGGATAGACAACTAATGGTAGATCATGATATATGATGACAATAGATGATTAAAATCGGCCACCTGTCGGGCTCTGGGATGACGATGGCGAAGACATCGCGGTGAGGTGGCTATCCCAAACTTTCTTCAGGTCAAAAATTGTGGTACCAATTGTCCAAAAAAAAGTGCATGGTTCTATCATTTGTCACAAATGGCTAGGCAACTGATGTTTAAAATGTGATTCACCACATGTAGCTGACATACAGCCTCTGCGGTTTGTGGGGGGAAATTCTCATGAATGAATTGATGATTCATCCCGTTTCCCCTAAGATTTTTCATAGCCCCCCAAATCAGGATGAATAAAACATTCTGAAAACACCCATTTTGTTCATGGTTGAATGATGTTACCCTCTGGATCCCTCTGGTAATTTAACATAGCTATGGAAAATCACAATTTTTAATGGGAAAACTCACTATAAATTGCCATTTTCAATAGCTATGTTAGTTTACCACAGGGTAAATCATGTTGAATGTGATTTTTTCATGCTTGGATCCAACCATCCCCTCTCTTATTGGTTTCCCCGGAGGGGGCCTCAGATGTCGGTCTCACAAGGGCCTGGCACAGGACTTGGAGGATTTTTCTTGGGTTCCGAGAAAATTCATGGGGGTACCCCTTTATCGCTGGATGGTTTATAGTGGAAAATCCCATCCAGAAGTAGATGATTTAGGGATATTTAGGGGTCCTATCTTGGGAAATGAAAAGTTGTATATCTCGGACAACCCACGAATCGGGCACTTACTTTAATACTAAGGTTGTGAACCACTTACGATTCGTGGTATGAGGGCAAGAGTCGAAACGTGGCCAGAAAACATCTATATAAGATGACTACTGTTTTTTCCTCAATCCTAGTGAGTGCAAAAAAAACTCCCTTGCATATGAGGAGTCGATACTTGTATTTAGCCCTCCTGCTGCATTTGTGGAAAGGCATTGCAAGCTGCACCAAGCTGCCTCACTTGGGAGTGTTTGCTCATTGAAATCTCCAAACCGAAAAACGGATGTGCTTCATGGAAATGCTGTAACAAATAGCACTTTGTGAAATGACCCCCGAATTCAGACTTCATGATCTCTGTATGTTAGATACGAATCATCCCTGTCAAACGGAAAAGCTTGTGCACCTTGGGCCGGGGCTCCCCTGTCCTGGAAGGTGCCTGAGTCATGGATGACGGATGGCATGGGGAAGATCATATGCTGTTTGATGCTTTGGAAAGATGGAAACGAACAACTCGCAAGAGATGCACTCTGCCACGGGGTTTTGCTTCGCGCGAAAGCTTGTGGGATCATTCTTTGCTGGGGACCACTGCAGATATATATATATATATATATATTTATACATATATATATATACATGTGAACCAATGTCCCCCTGCACCAGTCTTTATCGTGTTCAGCCTATACCCAGCCGGCCATTTTCTTTCACAACTGTTGGGTCAAAATTGGGGCACTTTTTCGCACAACATTTGGGATTCTTCAAAGTTGAAAGTACACAATTGGTGGACCAAATGTTGTGTTTCCAAATATATTGGGAACCCACCATCTTTGGAGAAATCCACATCCGTCATTGGTGAAATTTGATGCGAAGATTGCCCAATGTTGGCTAAAAAATCCTACATTTCTTGAGTCAATCCCCAAACTCCCTGAAGCTCCATTCTTCATTGGTTAGAAACTGTGGATAATTACCCCCCGGTAAACAGTTTGCTATGGAAGCCATCGCCCATTGAGTTTGATTTATCTTTCGAACTTGGTGATTTTCCATAGCAAACTTTACCAGGGGATACTATCATTATAGATGATACATGATCATTCAAAGTCACATTTGCTAGGTATAACGTGACATTTGCTAGGTCTGCTAGGTCTGCTACGTGACTTTAAAATAGATGATTTTACCATCAAATTTTATCAAATAGATGATTTTATCACATTTACCATATTTTTCCATTGGTAAGCAAACCACATAAGGAATATAAGGATTTCCCAGCTTACGATGTTTGATGACCGAGCCCAGACCTCCCGAGCCCATTCAGGCACCTCCCGGGAAAGTCGAAACCTCCGCGTCAAATACGGCAGATGCACGACCTATGGCAACTGCTTGGGAACTTCATATGGAAATTGGATCTTCAATTGGATATAAAAATTGGTTGGAGATGTCCAATATATCATCTATGAAATAGTACTGTTTGTTGATAGTTGGAGGAAGTTAATCTATATCTATATATATATATACACTGTGTATACGTGTATATATATATATGAGTTGTTGGCAACTCCCAATTTAACATATCCATATTACATCCAAAACGATGATAAGCTATTGGGTTATGAGTTACCATTAAGGAGCTTTAATTATGTTTGTCTATGGGTAAAAAATGATGAAGCATATAAAACCATTGAATCGGCCGTTGGCTTTTTGAAAAATGAAGAAAAATCACACCACATGTGCAAGTCGTGCTGCTGACGTGTGGAGATGCATTTCAAAATTGTACCTCACTCCCAGATTTGCGCCTGACCACCCTACCTCCAAGTTTTCCCCGAAAAAAAATCCCACTCACCCCTAGCTTTCCACAGCGCAAAAAGTGTTTTTGGGTCGTAGACTACAAAAATATGACTCTGGATCGCCCATAAATTCCAGTTTTTGGACGATGAACATCCATCAGGGTACAGAGGTTTGGACCTGCCATTTGATTCCAAGCTACGGGGCATTTCTGGCCAAGGCTCTGTTCGCAATAGCCGTTCCTGTGATCGTTGCCAGTTCCAACATAGGAAAGTCGTGGAAAGTAGAAAACCCTTGCAGTAAACCAACATGGCCATAGAGATCCAGAACTGTCCCGATCGGAAACGGTTTTTGATTCATGGTGGATTGTCCATATCTTTGTATGTTTACTGGAAGGTATTCAATCTTTCAGACCTGATTTCATGACTCAGCTGGGTCCAGGCCGTTTTCACCGACTCTCCATGTTCAAAAACAGTCATCTGTAAACAGCTTGCCACATGCGGGGTTCTTAAAATGGACGGATCCCAAAACCATGTATTTTTCCTATTTAAATGCAAAGTTCGATGATTTTGCGGTCCCCCATGTTACGAAACACATGGGTTTGTCTGAATCTTTGATGATTTTGCGGAGCTTTGTTCAGCTGATCTCCTTGCGTAGTTCCAGGACGTCTGCTGAAGGGGGGAAAACACCCATTTTTATTGTGGTGTATCATCAGTTTGCCTATGATTGAAATGCAAACTGCTTGGGTATACCCGGTATACCCGGTATACCCCACTTTCAGAGACCACATGTTGCCAGCCCATTCCGCTGTCTTGCACTGGTTGTTTGCATCAGCTCCAGCCATCCAGCCTGTGGGTTGTCACGGCTCACTCTGTTGGGACCAATTTATGGACATATTCAACAATGCCTTCATCTAGCCCCAAAAGTGATCCACGAGAGGCGCAAGCCAAGTCCAGGTGAAAGGCTCGTCATTGCCAAGAAATCAAAGAGCCTTGATGAATTTGTGGGTACTCCTTGAACAATCTCACAGATATGTTAAGACTCTTGGATTCCCACACCTGAGCAACAGAACATTTTATGAAATGGCTCTGACTGAAGCTGTGGTGCCCCATTTCCAATGGTCTATCATCATCTTTCCGATCAAGTTGGCCATTTCTTAGGGCTAAATCCATCACTTTCGCTGGAAAAATCCCCCTTGTTGGCTGGTGAAATCAAAATGTTTAAAGGTGTTCCCATAAATCTCTCCATAAGATGATAACATCTGATTAAAAGATCCCATCAAATCCCATGGAAAATGTCATCCTCCTTTAAGGACAACTCTCACTGAGTTGTGACTCATCTCCGTGGGACTCCGTCGCCCGGGCTGCCCCACAGATGTGCGGCGCATCACTAACGGGTCGATGGCTGCGGAAGATTTCTTCGGCGCGGGCCACGAAGGACTCCTAGTGGCTCCGGGGTGAAAGTGATCTCTCGGGGCCAAAGGTCTCCCAGGTCTCCCCTGCAACAGGAAGCCATGATTATTCTATGGGACTACCTGGGACTATGAGATTTTAATGGGATTATGGGATGATTATGGGATGATTGATGGAATATTCATGGGATTGAATGGCATTTTAACGGGATTTACTGGTACCTGGTTATGATTATGGAATATACCCTGTCATCATGGCAAGCTGGAGAATCCCCAAACCAGCCAATGGAGGTTTCCAGCGACAATCAAGGACCTCAATGGGAGATTTTCCAGCCATGTTTGATGACAATAGACGATGAATTCTTGATACCTCTGGGATGATACCCATTTCAAATACCTCTTGAGATGTTTTTTCTACAAAAAATCTTAGGTTGCCTCTGAATTGGCAATAATTGTTTTCTGATACTTTATGACTAAATGCTTGGCGATGATGAGAAGTTCGGGGTTCTGAGTTGGGTTCATCACCATCGAACCTGATGGCCAAGTCGTAATGAGAGGATTTGATGGGTGAATCGGTGAAAACGGGTAGAATCAAACAGGAATATATAATTACCCTCTGGTAAACTAACATAGCTATGGAAAATCACAATTTGTCAATGGGTAAATCCACTATAAATAGTCATTTTCAATAGCTATGTTAAATTACCAGAGGGTATATATTGCAAAACGTGTCAAAATCCTATCTTGGTAAATATTACCCGGGACAATCTTCAAAAGCTACAATCTTGTAACTGTTCAACATCCTACTTTACCTGGGCAGGAATTAAAAAAACACTCATTCCCCCCAATAAAATGCCTGGAAAAATAGTTTTAAAAATGCTTTAGACATGGGCGGTGCCAGGAAAAACATCTCAGCCCATCTGCAGCTGGTTTCCCCTCACCTGGATGCTGTTGTGTTCCATACGCAGCCACAGAGGAATTCGGGAGCTGCTGCCGGGACGATCGGTTGGATACCTGGCCCGGTGGAAGTCCCACTGGCTCCATGGTTGCTGTGATTGACATCTGTTGTGTTAAACAACTACCCATCTCTATCCAAATTGGTTGCTATTCATATACACCTATATAATGCCTATATATCTGGTTGGTGGTTTCAACACCCCCCTGAAAAATATGACTTCGTCAGTTGGGATGATTATTCCATTTCCAATATGATGGGAAAGTCCATTCATGTTCCAAACCACTAACCAGTATATATATATAATTATATACATATATACTAATATCTAATATCCTACATCGTTGTCGGCTGTGTATTCCCCATGATTTTGGATAATGAAGGACGCCGCAAGACCGAGACGCCAGCCAAAAAACAACGTGGGAGGATTCCTTGTACTACGTAACCAACATCCATCTGGATACATCACAAAAAGGTAATTCACCAAGCAAAAAACAAAACAGGAAGGATGCTAGGATACAGATCCTGATTCCAAATTCTCGGGGATTCATTCAAACCACTAGCCACTAACCTATCATCTTATAGATATCTGAACAGAAAAGAATAATTCACTGACCTAAACTAAGCATTTTGAGACTTCCAATCCCCAGCCGTCCCCCACTTTCCCACCTTTCGGCTCGCGCCACTGCCTGGATGATCTCCAGAGCTCCTGCGGCTTGACAGCGGTCTATGGTCATAGCCTCCAGTGGCATCACCTATAGCCATAACATGCATCCCAAATATATTTAACTATTATATATACCATCTGGTTATTTAACATAGCCATGGAAAATCAGCATTTTTAATAGGTAAACCCAGGTAAACCATCTATAAATGGGCCATTTTCCATGGCTATGTTAAATAACCAGAGGGTATATATAATAGTGTTAATAGGTCAAGAATATTGGGATATGCAATTAATGAACTATATATCTATATATATATCATATATCCCATCATGGCTTTTATGGCTTTCAATCTGGGAGAATGGGATGGGATAATCCATTCATGGCTGGTTTTTCCAGCTAGCAATGTTTGATTACCAGTGGATAATCATCCAAAGTTGGGGGGGGCCTTCCTGTCGAAATACGTTTCCCTATTTCATGTAGTTACAAACCTGACATGTTTAACGTCAAAAAAAGAGGGAAGAAAATGGAAGATACCTCTCCATCAACCCCAAACCAAGCTTTCTTGAAGCCAGGCACCGTTTCTTGCAGAAAGTCACATCCGACCATGGCTGTGGGTCATTCTGTCAACACGACATGTAATGTGACAACGCGGAAGAAGAGAGCTACAAATATTGGAGCTGCAGCTGAATTGCAGAGCTATCGCCACCATAATCTGGATCACCCCAGGTGACGACTGACTTATCAGCCAAGATGGCGGCGAATGAACCCCCTACAAGGCGGAAAGTACCCTCAACTTGTTCCACATTCTTGAGCTCATCTCGAACTGCAGAGCTGTTGCCACCATAGTTTGGGTTGCCCCAGGTAACGAGGGACCCATCAGCCAAGACTGCGGCAAATGCCCCTACTGTGGTTTGAACTTGCTGCACATTCTTGAGCTGCTGTTGAACTGCTGAGCTGTCGCCGCCATGGTCTCGAACACCCCAAGTAACGACGGATCCATCTGCTAAGCTTGCAGCCAATGCCCCTCCTGTGGCCTGAACTTGCTGCACGTTCTTGAGCTGGTGTTGAACTGCAGAGCTGTCACCACCACAGGTTTGCGTACCCCAGGTAACGACAGACCCATCTTCTAAGATGGCAGCAAATGCCCCTGCAGTGCCCTGAACTTGCTGCACGTTCTTGAGCTGGTGTTGAACTGCCGAGCTGTCGCCACCATGGTTTGGATTCGGATTGCCCCAGGTAACGACTGATCCATCAGCCAAGACAGCGGCAAATGCCCCTCCTGTGGCCTGAACTTCCTGGACATTCGTGAGCTGATCTTGGTAACGATTCTGTCACCTCCACAGCACCAGATTGCAAAAGCTGCCGATGTTGCTGCCACTTTGGGCTGTTGCGCAACAACCGTTAAGTGCGCTCCTTCTTGAACTTCCGTAGTGAGCAAAGAGTCCTCAGGACTTGTCAGAATCCCTTCTCTGTGACAAGTTTGAGGAACCCTTGTCTGAATGACTTCTGGACCAGAACTTTCAGGTCACCCACTGTTGAGTTTTGGGGAAGCGACAGGGTCTCACCGTGCCCGCTCGGGAACGCAACATGTACGTGAAGCAGTACTTGTTCGGGATGCCAAATGGGGCCCCAAAACATGAGCCACAACGAGGCCAAAACCCTGCAAAAGAAGCCCTTCTTTGGAGTCGCTGTAGCCAAAGACTCACCTGTAGATGGACCTGCAAGAGCCGCGGCTTCTGAAGCCACCTCAACCTTGCACTCTTCCACCTTTTGCTCGTAATACGGCCTGTATGGATGGTTGGGAAGCAAGAAATCGAACCTGGTGTGGCTCTGTTCTCTCCAGATGCGCTTCTCGTAGCCGTCTCCACCTTTGGCCACCAATAGAGCTGTTTTGTCAATGATACCATAAGTGTATGGTGTTTGTGAGGCCAAATGATTTCCAATGGAATTCATCTAGCCAGATTGAAACCGTGTTTTCGGATGCAGAAATGTACACTCTCTCAATATGGCTTAGAAATGCCTATCGAGCCAGAAATACCGCAACAGAGATTTGATGCTGGACCATCCTTTTTTAGCTGCCCTCATCCAAGATTCCGGAAAGAACAGGATATGTTAATCTTATTATGATGTCTATGAATGTGTGTATATGATGTATATATATATATGCATTCATAAACCCCATAGGAACGCTAGCCCAGTAGGATGATTGGGACATAGCCCAGTCACGGTCGGAAAGTCGAAAGTCCCGGCAGCAGAGCTAGGTTTTTTAAGCCAAGTGGATAAGAACTATATTATGCCCCCATTACATAGGGAATACTCCCAGTATAACGCTTATGGCGGTGATGGGTTCCAACAGAACTTACTAAGTGGAATAAACATCCAGTGTTCATTAGTATTCCATTCGTATTGGGATATACCCCAGTTACTGACTATGAATCGCTAGTTCTGGCAACATCTAAGTGGCTACAATTTACCTATAATGAGTTTGAGCAACCCTGAAAAATAGGGATATACTAGTCATCATTCACAAACAATTGCTTTCATAACTACAGAAACCAACTGTTTTTGATAGCTCGCTTCTTACTTGGATGTGCATCCCAGTTGGTAAGTGGTTTGTAACCCCTACATATCCATGTATAATTTATATATTCATATATACCCTCTGGTAATCAAACGCTGCAATTAACAAAACAAAAAAAAAACATGATTTCTGATATAGATGATGATCCCATATATCGTATTCATGGGTGTATATATATAGATAAGTCCTCTATATAACTCCGCCATCATCCGCCCCGTTTTTTTCTCCTTCCGTGTCGATCTCGTTGTGCGACAGGTGCAGCTCGTACAAGGCCCAGGGCGCCGTACGGATCCAAATGGCCAACATGTTGGCCGCGGGACGGGTCAACCTTTGCGCGGCCGCGCGGCCGCGGTGCGGAGATTGGATATTCCTGTTATCTGGGTAAATTATAATAATTCACTAACCTGAATTAAGGCCATTTGGGGATCATTTCCCTTACTAACCATGATTCCAGTGAGGTCGTAGTGAGGGCGTTATAATTTACCCAGTGTTATGAATGGAAGATGAATATCCCTGGGATTTTCATGGATTTTCATGGATTGATGGGATATTCCTGGAAAATGGATGAATGGGGATTCCGAATATTCCTGGAAAAATTGTTGGAGATGAATATTTTTGAGATGGGAATGGGATATTCCATGGGAGGATGGAAGATGAATGGGATATTCCTGGGAGATTAATATGGAGATTTTTTGAGATGAGTGGGAGGATTATGGGAGATGAATTCCTGGGAGTTTTATATACGGGAGATGAATGGGAGTGATGAATGGGAGATTCATGGGATTTAATAGGATTATAGGATGATGATGGGATAATCCCAATCTAAAAGAGAGGTACATACCTGGCAAATGTGAAGTTAAAAGAACCTGTTCTGTATCTTTCTAATATTTTTTCTGTTCACATACCAGGTGACCCTGTAAAGGGACACCAAGCCACCGAGGATCTTCCGTGTGGATTCAACTTCATGGGAAATGGGGATGAAATCCATGGCTAGCCATGGTTTGTGGGCTCACCCGCCAGGCTTAAGTGCTTCACAGCCATATGTTTGATTTACCTCGCTGGGATATACCATGACATACCCCAGTCATGGCAGCGGAGAAATAAGGATAAATCATGATAGAATATGATCAATTACAACAGATGAATTTAGAAAAATTGGAACTGAAGCGCGCAAAAAATGTCCCACTCATATTATGTGCTGCGTTTCTGGTCAAGTTACGTGGTAGTATCATATGGTTTTCTAAGGGTCATCCCCATGAGAAAACCCAGTTGCTGACCACTTCAGGGAAGATCCAAGAAACATCCAATTCTTTTTGTTGACAAAATGGTGGAATTCCAAATGTCTCAGCCATGTCACTGTTTCTCAGCAACAACTGGTCAAACCGTCTCCAACTCTTGCGAGATCGTTCATAAAACATGTTATATATATATAATTATATCATCATTTCATAAGTTGCCCATCATGAAACATCCCCATACCCAAATGGAAAAACGCCCTCTACCGCCATCTACCGCCCATCTGACGGCTTTGGCACCTCCAAACACAGCTCCCATCCAGTTGGCAGCTTTGGCAGCCAAGCAGCCGATTGTGGTGTAAATTCAGCACGCCCAGGACAATTCTCTCTTCCTGCGAAACTCCGTCGCCACTCTCGGACCCAAACTCCAGCCAAAAACCAGCCAGCCAAAAACCACAACTGTCTCGTTTGCTCCAAGAACGGTTGCTCAAATTGGTTTTTTTGGGGAAAGTGGGTGTGAACTTGAATCAAAATCCATGAAATTCCAACAAACCTTTTCGGATCCCAAACCTTTGTTCCTATTCTTGTCCAACTTGATCCATCCCCACCATACCCGCAAGCCACTCCCTGCCAGCCTGGTGTCCGCAAATGTGGCCCCCAATTCTTTGCCATAAATGGAGGGTTAAATCCCTGATGCTCCGACTCAACACAGCGAAGTTGGATGAGATCACCCCCTCCAATTCTGCCCATCTACATCACCATGTCGTCCACAAAAACCACCTCTGGTTGGTGGTGCAATTTCACCATCTTGAAAAATCATGGAGTTCGTCAATGGGGTTGGGATTATATATCCCATTAATATGAAAAGGAAGTCATAAAAGCCATGTTCCAAACCAACAAGACCTATGTTTCTGCTCCAAAATTTGCCGCTCCTTCAGCACGGTCAGCAACATCTTCAAGGCCGTGTGGTTGATGAAGTTTTTCGAGGCATCCAACTCTTTCGCCAACAAACAGCCCTGGCCTGAAACCACTGAAACCACTGAAACCACTGAAACCGCGGACTGGAGGACCACCAAGAAATTTCGGATCCCATATGTATCTATATATATATATATGCATATACATACGTCTATATATATAATTATATATATACACATATACACGGCTTAGAGGAGGAATAAAACCGAAACCTGATTCAAGGGCATCAAAATGGACACATTCCCATGGACTATCAGCTCCTGATAAGTGCTGCTGGCTGCATCCCAGGTGTATGGGATACATTGAATTCAAACTTCAGGAACTACAAATGTCTCGCTTTCCTTGATCAAACAGACCATGTAAATCAACGGATATTGGTGGAGATTGAAGAATATGTGTCCCCAACCATACCATCTTAGGCATGAAAACAGCAAAACTATAGTTGCAAAATTTTAACATAATCCCCTGAAATCACCAACAGCCCAAGATATCTTTTCTAGGTCAAACCGGTCAAACCTGCTTTCCCAGATCACCAGCCCTCCAGTGCTCCAGGTGACGTTTGGTCAACCTGGACTCCTGCATGCGCAATCTCTGCATGTACTTCGGCAACCAGCTGCAGAAACGGCGCATGCCGTCCTGACAGCCAGGATGAATAAGATGAACGAAGGGGCAACCAAGGAGAACCTCAATATATGAAGAATCAATGATGATTATATTTCAATCATATCAATAAATTGAAAAGAATGATGATAGTATATAGTATTAATAATAATAATAATGACTATAGCAATAACAATGGTTGTAAACTCTTGATGCATGGGATGGACACCAGTCATAGATGAGTTACGATTCTCCACTCAGGGTCTCAATTTGTCACGTGTTGTGTACACGAAAGTCCTCCAGGACCTGAGGTGAAAAGGTGTACTCCCTGGCCAACCATGGAGCCCTGGCCCATCCCAGTTTTCCCCTCCTCATCCAGTTTTCGACCGCCTTGGGAGGTTGGAAATAACGATCGGGTTTTTTTCACAGTTCAACTTTGCCAAAATGTGAGTCGTTGGTGATCGTCCCATATTTCTATGGTTGACAATACAAGTGTGAGAACCCAATTCCATGCCGTTTATTATGTATGACACATGTTCGATAGCATTGACGCCCCAAGAGCTCCACACATGTAGATCATGTAGATCAATGGATACATAGATGCTAGAGGAATGGATACGAAAGGAACCTCTTCACGCCTGCCAGCATGTTGATACAGCTGCAGCACCATGTGGTTTTTCACATATTTGTTTGGGTACACCAACTGAAAGAGTCCCTCCAGCAAACAGCCAAAGGGTGTCATCAAATTGCCTCATGGTTCATGGGTAGAATCCTATAGTTTTATGGCAAACTTGGCCACATCATTGAGAATGGAATATGCACCCCGCAATAGTGGCATCAAATGCCACGGGAAAATGATCCAATCAACCCGGTTGTGACTCACATTAATGGGGGCCACGGGGACTCTTCAAAACCTGTAACAAAGATGTTCCGAGGAGCTCAATCGAATCACCAGGGTGCCCTCCTGGCCATCGCTTTCTGTGACGACTGGATACGTCTCGTTGGTGAAATAAACCCAGCCCGGTGATTTTTTTACCCAGCCAGGTGATATCCCCAACAACAACTACATGAAAAAGTCCACTTAAATGTTTATCGGAATGATGTAATTGAGAGCTGTGTGTTTTAATAAACCGAGATAAACCTTTGATTGACCATTTGTCGGGAACAACAAAAACTTTGCTTGGACACCTGTGCCAGGACACATTGTTTGCAAATCTGTTCCTGGGAGCTTTGCTTGGGAACCCTTGCTTGGTAACCTCGTTCTTGGAAACCTGTTCCTGGAAACCTGCTCTTGGAAACCTGTCCTTGGAAACCTATTCCGGCGAAAAAACCTGTCTTGGGAAACTGTTCTTGGAAAACGTTGCTTGGGGACCTTGCCTGCGAACCTGTTCTTGGAAACATTGCTTGGAAACCTGGAACCCTTGCTACCTTTTCTTGGGAACCTTGCTTGGGAACCCTTGCTTGGTAACCTTGCTTGATAAGCTTGCTTGGGAAGCTTGCTTGGCAACCTGTCCTTGGAACCCTTGCCTTGCTTGGGAACCTCCTTGCTTGGTAACCTTGCTTGGGAACCTGCTCTTGGGAACCTTTGGGAATCTTTGGGAATCTTTGGGAACCTCTTCCTGGGAACCATTGGGAACCTTGCTTTGGAACCTGGCTTGGGAGCCTGCTCTTGGGAACCTCTTCCTGGGAACCTCTTCCTAGGAACCTCTTCCTGGGGAACCTGGCTTGGGAACCTGGCTTGGGAACCCCTTCCTGGTAACCTGGGAACTCTGGCAATCCGGATTTTGGCTGCTCCGACCTGCTCCGAGACCTTTACTATGGCTGAAGACCCCAAGCTGTTGGGGAAAAACAGTCAATCAACCAGTGGATGATACTGGATAATAGTAGATAATTGTGAATGATCGTGGATAATATTGGATACTATTGGATAATATGGTGGTAAACATAGTTCTACATGGGTAACTAAGTGGGTGATACCAGTTACAAATGGAATATACCCCCATTAATGTGTGGGCTAGGAAAACCACTAACCATAGTTATACACCATTGATCACTTGCATGACCCATGGATCGGGGACGTACTATATAACCGGGTCATGAACCTCAGTTCCAAATACTTCATACGTCACAATCCAGAGACGGCTGTGAGTCAAAAAGTTTCACTGGTGCCCTAGTTGTCACAACCAAGTTTTAGCTGGTAGTTATTGGCATCCATTCAGATGGTGCCCAGTTGGTGCTGAACCATCCCCAAAGTAGTTTTTTTCTGCAGGAACAGCGATTAATCCCATCCCCCTACCCAAATATGTGCGAATCCCCTACTAAACCATGGTTTCTGGTTGGTGCTTATTATAAAAGGAAAGGGATTCTTCAATCCTCCATTTCTATCACAAATTGCCCAGATTGACCCCCGGTGTGAACCACATGTCATGTCTTTGCACCTGAACCACATTGAACCACGCCCAGTGTGGTGAAGCATTTCCGATCCATAGCCATTGGCCCCCCCTAGGGCCGAACGGCCTTAAACCTTAAACGTTGAGTTACTGTCACTAAGATTTTGCCAACCAATATAAGTCAAGCCTAATCTCAACCATCGCCATCCCCATCTCAAGTATGATGGACCGCATTGGCATGGGTCACAACCCTGTACCCCCTTCGGTTTACACCAAAATAGCTGGGCTTTATGGGTCTTCATCCAAAACAAAAATGTGGAAAATCAAAGGTAACTTGGTACATTAAGAATACCTCTATCCCATCTCATTATACTACTTTTGATATGTGTTCCTACTGTCGGCTATAATCATCCCCAAAAACCCACGTAGTATAATGCTTGGTATCCCTATTAATAACTCATCGACCCAGGTATTTTCTAATATTGGGTTATCATTACTATATAACTGGTTTACCACATAACTACTACCTATTTTGATCATCCCCAGTTTATTATTGGATTTACTTTACCACATAATATTACTTGTTGATTTACAAACCCCATGGAAATACAGTTATTTGCGTATCATCATAAACCATGAATACTTTAATAGACTATATGAATACTTATTTGCGTATCACAAACGATACCAACTTAGCGATGTCGTTTATGATACGCAAATAGCATCTTATAACTTTAGTATTTGGATGTATTTGGTTATTATCATAAACCAACCTTTTCTCCATTCAAACCAAATACTATAGTTATAAGTATCATCCAAATACCATGGTTATAAGTATCATAGAATATTTACTATATGATATAGCTATGATAAATACAAAAAATCATCCAAATAGACTGGTAATTTATCATAGCTGCGATGGCTCCTGCGTCACCTTCACGCATTGATCAAACTCATCGCCATAGGACATGGATGGCCTTTTGACCGAGTGCCAATGGAAGAGATGGAGGACAAACAAATGGATTTATGCTGGATTTATAGTGGATTTCGATGGATTCTAATTCTATGGATTTATAGTGTTTTTGTGCGGGAATAATGGATTTATATGGATTTTATGGCTTTGTGGTGGATTTGTCGTGGATTTATTCTGAAATTGTATGAAATTGTAGTGGATTTATATGGGTTTGTAGTGGATTTAGAATGGCTTTATATGGATTTGACGTTGGTGACAGGGAAATAGTGCAGTTTCATGGGGATATAATGGGATGACATGACTATATAACACTAGATAACAATATATGGAATGTAAAAAACACTACAAAAGTCTGTCCAGAAATGGAGTTACACCCTAAAAGTCTCGTGTTTATTGGGAAAAGGATGATTAATTAGTGGATGGAATGGAGTACCCATATTTTTCAGTCAGACCCATACAAAGGTTGTGTAATTGCGACCTATGACCAACAGATACTGTCTCACCACAGCACAAACGGGGTCGGAACTCTGATTTCAAGCTCAGCACATTGATCCTGCCTCAAAATCACAACATTACCTTCAAAAATGACGGCACTCATGCTAGCTTAGCATCCTCGTCCACTGGTTTGTAACGTAGGTGATTTCACTATCTGGATGAATTCAGGCGAGTCCGCCAAGAATCCCATCGTCATAGTCAAAGATACCTTCCATTACCGGTAATGGAAGGTATCTCAAAATGAATAATCCCATGCCCCTAATATTAAACACCTCCTTAGAAACCATGGTTCAGTAGACAATTTCCACATGACTGGGAGGCCTTGTAAGGTCCAATACTAACTCCACCAGGGCCAAGATGCCCTTGCGCCTGTTGTCCCACCAACCGCTTCGACCGTAATAGCCGTTATTGGACTTCCAACTGGAAGATGTGCTATCAGCCTGACCTGGTAAAGAGTGGATGGGATGAAACTGGAAAGCCCTAGGGAGGTTGGTGTTTCCAGGGGAAATCTACAGTTGAAAGTTGAAACCATGGAATTGTGCCTCCAAAGATTGAAGCTTTCCTGCAAAATGTGCTCGTCCAATTCTGAATTCTGTAAAAATCAGTACCGAAGAAAGGATGAGTCGCCGGTCTTATACAGTATACATCTGTATATATATATATATATATATTGATATGATATGTGATATATATATATACCTAAATATATATATATATGTGATGTATGTATATGTATATAAATATATATGTGTATATGATGTATATATAATTACATTCATTGAAGATCTTCAATAAGGGTTTAATTCTCCCACCCCCGTTAAACTTCTACATTCATTGAAGATCTTCAAAAAGGGTTGGATGATGATGATGATGATGATGATGGTGATGCGTTGCCTGTCATGGTTGCGGTTCCGCGCAAAGCCCAGGCATTTGCCGTATGTGTATATATATATATGTATGTATGTATGTATGTATGCATGGATGTATGTATGTATGTATGTATGTATGTATGTATGTATGCATGGATGTATGTATGTATGTATGTATGTATGTATGTATGTGTGTGTGTGCGTGCGTATGATGAGAATTATGATATATGGAAATTCACTATGCTGCATAGCTGCAAGTTGCTTGGTCAATATGGATTTGGTGTCAATCGCTTTGTGATCGATGATCAATCCCCAAGAAATGGGGTCCCTCAGGAACCCTGCATTTTTTCCAGTAGAGGTGTCCCTCAAACATCAATTCACTGGACCGCGAACAGTATTTTAAAGTGGTCCCTTACAACAAGGCCAAAATAGTTCATTGACAGGGACCCCAAATGTATGGCCAACCAATTTCCAGTCAACAAATAGCTTCAAACCCAAAACAAACTCCCGACTTGCAGCCTTGATAGCTGTTGTAACTGCTGTAGCTCTGGCTGTACTTTTCATTTCGGTAGTTCGAAGCACTCGCGCTCTGGCTGTACCGCTCGTTTCGGTATTCGTAACTCTGCCAAGACGCCTCAGGTCAGGGTGAGGCCGCAACTGCTGTGATCCCTCCCCTCCAATATGAAGTCGAAGGTTAGACATCAAAAATTGGTGTAACAGTAACTGGAACCGCCAAAATCTTGGTTCAACAATAGTTCAACCATCCGGAATATACAGGACATATAGCCATCAATATGTGTATATATATATATAATAGTCAAGTACTTGCGCATATGGGACCCCAAAATGAATAGATCCAATACTCAACCAGGGGTCGAGGAGATGCATTATATTGGGGGATAGGATCAATAGCAATATATAACTTTAGCATTGGAGTTAATCGAAATTGTGTCAACCAAAGAGCAACAATTTATCATCAGTTTTGAACAGAAAACCGAAATCGTCGGATATCATGACCAACAATTGCTTGAAGGAACTTCATTGTGCTCTTTGCAAAAATCGGAGGTACCATAGGGAATAGTGGGAACATTCCCCGAGAAAAAGAGGAGTTCTAACCAAAATTAGCCAAGAATGATTGTGTAAAAAATCATTTAAAGTTTGCAGGTAACTGAGCCACCCATCCCCAAAACTGCGCGAAAAAATTGGGATTTTTTCAAGGTAGGGATGGAAAAGTCGGGATTTTGCTCGAAACCAGCAACCCGAAATGCTGGAAACCCCGACCGTTCCACTGGCGAAAGTGTCTAGCTGGAGGTTTCAATCCAAAAAAATGCTGCAGGTGAATGGCGATCATGGTCCCCAATATTCTTCAAAAGAAAGCAAAGATTGGAAATCACCATCCAGTTTAAGGATGTGATGCTTGATCAGGGTGTCGCTACACCACTTTTCTGGTGGTTCAAGCCCCGAGGTTTCCTGAAATTGGGGTACCCAAATCATCCAAGTCATTGGACCATGACTTAGCCTTGAAACCCATGGTGACTTGGGGATCCCCCATGACAGCCCTGCGCCCACCTGGCCATTGGGCCAGCTCTGTCTCTCAACCACCGGTGCAACGGCCGGTGCGGCCGGTGCGGCCGGTGCGGCTCTGGGACCTGGCGATTTCCAGAAGTTTCCAGACTTTTTCCAGATCGCCAACATGAATTTCCATGTCCTATTTCCATGATGAGTCAATGGTTTTCAATTGGTTAGGTGGTTGCCCCCCATGTTTTCCCACAGTTTCAAGCAATCCACCAAACAAGTGCTGAAATCGATTCAAATCGCACCTTCCTTCCATTGCGAGGTGGGTCCATTGAGCGTCGGCTGCCAGTTGGACTGCTCCTGTCCGGGAACTGGCTTTGTCTGTAAAATTAGGGGAAATGAAAACCCAACTGGTTTAGAAAATACTAGTTCCTATTCTTGGATGTGCCGGTATGCCATGGTTTACCCTATTCGAAGCAAGTGGACTGATCTCGTCTCCACTTCGACATCAGTTTCTTCGGATGAGGTATACCAGCTGTCCCCCAGCCTTGGAGCGCCAGCGGTTGTCCCTGGCAGAAATGGATTCCTCGAAATGCAATAGTTCACAGTTCACATTAGTTTACCATCATTTTCCCTATCCAAGTGCCACAACTCGGGGTGTGCCGCATTGAGCCAAATGGATTGGTCCAGCACCACTGGATTTTGGGGGTCCATTTTCAGAGAAACCCCCAATGGCCCAATGGACCTTTTTTGATGAAAAAACACGAGTCTCTTGAAAAAGAACTGGGATATCACTCAACCCATGTTTTTAGAGGTTTAAACAGTTTAAACCATCCAGTTTTGGGAGCTCATTTTGAGCTACAGCATGCTACGATATGCCACGGCTGTATGGACATGATTGGCAGCTATCAGCCTGAGGGCAACCACAGTAAGGCAGAAAGCCTGATGACATTTCCGGCATGCTCTCCCGATGTTAAGATCCACTACTTGGGAATCAATACTGTGGCTAGTATTGCTAAATCATGTGGTAGTCGCCAGAGAATCCCAGCTAAGTGGTGTTCAAACTCTGGTCTCAAATGATTAGAGCTTCCAACAGCTGGCCAAGTTCGACCTGCTCCCATTTTCGGAGTTGTGACATTGCATGGGTATATATCAAGTTTGTGTACCTTCAAAAAATGGCATGGGTTTAAGGTTTAATCCGAAAATCACAGCAACCTCTCTCTCCCAGCCCTCTTTGACTCACACCGAAACGCCCATGGTGCCTAACTTCGGTCCTTTCAGGCGAGCTGACCTGCATAATTTGTTTGGCACATCGAGTCTCGGGTCAAAAAAGAAGGATCATACCAAAGCCAGAGGGTTTATGACTCAAACAATGGGCTAGACAATGATTGTCAATGGCTCATGTTTATTCATGTTCACCATTTACCCAGTCTTTTCTGTTTTCTTTTTGCTATGATCATCCCAAAAGCCCTTGACAAACTTGTTGGATCCCAGCTTTGTTTGGTTGGATTCCAGTTGGATCCACGAGTTCTTTCGGTGAAATCCTCGACGTTTCGGTGAACCGAAAAGATTATCAAATTGATCAACCAACCAAATACCAGTACTTGGTCTATGGAAGCCTCCAGTTCTTGGTAGATTCGCCAGCTGATTAGATCTCCATGTAGATCATCAGAATATTCAGGTCCAGAATCTGCTGGTTAATCCCCAAGATGCGCTTAAATCACTGTGGAATCCACAATGACCGTGCGATCTATCCCCACGAATCAACAATTTGGTGGCTACTATGCATCCGAAGTAACAAGGTATACACAGCACTAGACCACTGCTATTGTGGGTGACCTATCGTTGTGGATCCCACATCATTTATAGATCTCCAACATGGGTTCGTCTGATAATCATGGGAATATCTTCGAAACTTGCCTCATTGTCGGACACCTCCAAATATTGTTGCTTATAATTACTACTCCATGAATCCTATTGAATTCCCATTCAATGCCAATTGGGTCGTTAAAACCACACGTGAATCACTAAATCCCCGTTCCCAAAATTCTCATCAAATCCACATTCTAATCATGACATCTCCATATTCAGTCCACATTTTAATCCTTCAATCCCTATACCCTCTGGTAAACTAACTCATTTATAGTGAATTTTCCCATTAAAAAATGGTGATTTTCCATAGCTATGTTAGTTTATCCGAGGGTAAAACCACCATTTTCCTATGGTTTTCCTATGGTTTTCCCAATTGAATTGGGTTTCATCTCACCCCAAGCATCACCACGTCCCGCCTCGACATCCTCGGCATCCTCCGCATCCTCCGCATCCGTGGCACTCGGGGAGACCGGTGGATCCGCCATGGGAGACGCGTCCGACTCCTGGCGCTGGAAATGGATCCAACTAGATGAGTAGTTTGTATATTATATATTATATATTATATATTATATATTATATATTATATATTATATATTATATATTTTATATTTTATATTATATATTTTATATTATATATTATATATTATATATTATATATTTTATATTATATATTTTATATTATATATTATATATTATATATTATATATTATATATTTTATATTATGTATTATATATCATTATATTATATATTATATATTATATATTATATATTATATATTATATATTATATATTGTATATTAAATATATTATATATTATATATTATATATTATATATTATATATTATATATTATATATTATATACTATATATTATATATTATATATTATATATTATATATATATTATATTATATAATATATATTATATATTATATATTATATATTATATACTATATATTATATATTATATATTATATATTATATTATATTATATATTATATATCATTATATTATATATTATATATTATATTATATATTATATTATATCATTATATTATATATTATATTATATATTATATATTATATATTATATATTATATATTATATATTATATATTATATATTATATATTATATATTATATATTATATCATATTTTTTTTATATATTATATTTTTATTATATTATATATTATATTATATATTATATTATATTATATATTATATTATATTTTATATTATATATTATATATTATATATTATATATTATATATTATATTATATTATATATTATATTATATTATATATTGTATATCATTATATTATATATCATATTTTATTATATTATATTATATATTATATTATATTATATATTATATTATATGTTATATATAATATTATATTATATTATATTATATTATATATTATATATTAGATATTATTATATTATATATTATATATTAAATATTATATATTATATATATTATATTATATTATATTATATCATAATATATATCATATTATATTATATATTATATTATATCATATTATATTATATTATACTATATTATATTATATTATATATAGTATATTATATTATATATAGTATATAATATATAATATATAACATACAATATTTAATATATAATATATAACATATAATATATAATATATAATATATAATATATAATATATAATATATAATATAATGATATATAATATATAATATATAATATATAATATATTATATATAATATATAATATATAATATATAATATATAATATAATATATATATATATTCTACAATCAAGCGTGTTCATAATCATTGCCCCATAATTGTCCCATCAAAATCACCAGTATTTTCAGAGTGGCTCAGAAATTAGGTCCCCAGCAAACAGCCTTGCCCTTCGAATTTCCGGGGTTCTAGGTGTGGACACATCGGAAAAATGGAGCGTGATCTAACCACTATCCGACCGATGATTTCACGATAACAGATTGGTAGAAAAACATTCGACATCCTAGCATTTCGCAAGACTTTGTAACCCTGTAGGATCCGGCAAAACAAGAACTGAAAGAAGCATGGATCCTCATTCGTGTATGAATTACATGTCTAGGGTTTGTGCTTAACTATTATAGATCATTTCTATGTTATCCCAACGGGAAAACCGTGAACAACCAGGGCATGTCTGATGGGTGTGCCTGAAAAGTACTCTGAAAACCTCTAAATTTGCCATTTTGGATTCACCTCATGTTGATGTTTGGGTTTTGACTCACAACTCAAACGGCTTTACGATCTAGCTCACATGGTGAAACTTGGGCACGAGGCTTCATTGAAAGTTTGACACCCAAAATTAGAAGCCCACGAGTTTGGGGGTTCCATGAGTCTGACGCACAGTCTCAATCCCATGTGCAAGATGTGCAAGGCGACTCCTGTGTGGCTGGAAGCTCCTCTCTCCTGGGCACTGCAATGGGATAGTTGCAATATGTTGCGGTGGGTGCAGGATGCAAGTCTTGGATGGAAAATGGATACATTCAGCAACATATCTCATAATCATTCCATAATCATCCCATAATCATCCCACTAAATCCCCCTTCCCATTCATGTCCCATCAAATTCCATTAAATCCCATTGAATTTACCCATCCCATTCGATTTCCCCTAGTCTTTTTGATCACTTTGCGTCCAAAGTTCGCATGAGGAAAGCCATCGTCCGCGGGGCAGAGATCAACAGGGATCGCCTGGCGGAAATTCTGAGAGAAAACCATCTCTGAAAATCATCTTTGACTGTAGTAAAAGGCCAATGTATTTGTGATGTTGGATGTTGATGGACATTATATATCATATGTATATATATATACATCATATATATATATCATATATATATATATCATATATATATATTATCATAATATATATATATATTATACATATATATATATATATCGCCACTCTGTTTGAGAACATCTCGGAAAGTTGACATGTTTCCATGGACGATGTTCCATTGACAGCTTGGATTCTTCGCTGGGTTTCACCACCAGATCTTCCATCTCCATCCCCAAACGGTTGGACCCAAGGCTCTGTCTGAAAACTCTGGAGAGCTCCGCCATCCAAGAAATCTGGATGCTTCACCACCTTGAAGGGCTCGCCCAAAAACTGACCGGAAAAAAAAACTCACCGGACCTGACCCGGACGCATCATAAAAATCAACTGTATCCATTCATCTCATCCCACCGCTTTGATGGTTCAAAGCTCGAACTGAAGAAATAACGAACAGAACTATATAATCATCAACCATAATGTTGCTAGTATAAGTCTATAAGTCCCTATATGACCAATTCACCAGGCTATTTTGTTCATGGCTCCCTTGGAAAATCAGGTTTCCCAATCCTCTAATCATTTCATAATCCCCAATAAATGTGCTAGCAGAAGTCCCAACAAATTAATGGCTCACTATTAAAAATCATCAACCAACAGGGGTTTTCGACATTAAATCCCATTACTGTGAATCCCATAAAATCCTATCCATATCTCATTCATATTCCATTAAAGTTCCATTTCTGTTGGTTAAAAATCCAGGGTGAATCCCATCAAATCCCATTTTGTTCTACCGCAATCATCCCATAATCATCTCAATAATATCCCACAGCCACATCCTGTAGAAGAATTGAGATATTATCCTGAATGATTATTATTCAAAAAAAAATGGATAATCATCCCAGAATCATCCTGTAGAAGAATCATCTCAATAATATCCCAAAGAATAATCTTGTTCTTCAATTATATTCCACAACTATCCACAATTATTCCACAATTATCCCACATCTCAATAATCTTCAGCTTGTTATATCATCAATTTTCCAATCATTATTATCCACAATGAAATATGATGCAATGCAATATTATCCACAATCCACAATTATCCCACAATTATCCCACAATAATCCCACAATAATCCCAGGGCACCGTCATTTTGTTCTTCTTCAGCTTCTGTTTTTTCATCTCCCCCGCCATCTCCACCGCCATCTCCGGCTCCGCCATGGCGGCGGCACCGCGGATGCGATGTGCAGGGCTTGGGCAATGTCGATCCAAAGTGGGGTGAGTCCACTGAGTGTCTATGTATTCATATATGTGGTATATATATACATACTTCAATATTTGTACTATATATATATATACACATAGATGTATATGTATATATATATATGTATATATATATATACATATAGTTGATCCAAAGATACTTTGTAGTTGGGAAACAATATTAATGAATCATCCAAAGATATGTTGGAAGAGAAAAGTCCATTTCTGTGCCATGTTGGTAGATTCATTGGTTCTTCCATGTGCATCACACTGGAGCCGCTCAGCGAACGCCTCTAAATAATCCAAGTGATGCTCCAAGAAATGAGCGGAGCTGGACCCTAGATAGGAACACGAAGGGCCTTGGGTCAAGTTCTTCCCAATATCAAATCCTTGGATGCTTCACAAAAAAAAATGTGTTGGGAACATGTTCAATCCGAAACTATGTTTTTGTTTAGTACAGAATGGGGTTTTGGGTAGGGAAATCGACCAGTGGTGAACCCCCAATTGCCAGTTGCTCAGTTAGCCTGCCATCAACTGCTGCTGGAAGCACATCCGGTAGTCCTGCCGTCATAACTCGTTGCAGCTGGTATGGGCATGGCTGCGGACCCGCAGCCATTATCATCTCTAGATCCAATATGATCCAATGTTTGAGATTGCGCCATATGGGTATGGATCAATACCTATTAATACCATTTTTAGGGGGATGAACATCCATTTACCAGCTATTTTGATGTGAACTACAGGGGTACAAGGTTTTGACACACTGCCATATCAGTCTTCGAGGGCCAAATCGTACATCTACTTGGTACTTCGTGGATCAAGGGAGACCTTCATCTTACTTCATCATCTTTAATAGGTAAATCATCTAATTTTAAATGGGTCATGGCTGCCAGATCCATCTATTGAATCTATCTGTTCAAGTGGGTTCAACATCCACTCTTCCCCCCAGGCATCAGCATTCCGGTCCCAAGCCACTCCGGCACCGTCGCGCCAGTTCCAAAAGAACCAGCCGTGGGAGGCCTCCCAGCTGGGCGAAGCGCATGAACAAAGGGCAGGAAACCATCGTTTTTCCATGGTGTTTGCCATCAAAAACAGTTTTTGTCACCAAAGTTTTCCATTGGTTGTTCCATATTTTGGACCCTAAGAACTATGGGAAACCATGTTTTCCCATCAATACTAGTGGTCCTCTGATTTTTTTCCCATTGTACGTGCTGTTCACCATTCCCAGGTGGAAGGAACGTTTAGATTAAGGACTTCAAGTTGGTTGGGATATGTTTGAAGAAGATTTACAGAAGCTCAATGAAAATCACCATTTTTAATGGGAAAATCCACTATTAATGGTCATTTTCAATAGCTACGTTAAATTACCAGAGGGTAAATCTCAAGGCTTTTTTTTCCGTGGAAGTGAACCCCCAACCAATTTGGTGGACTCCGGTGACCTCCAACCAGTTCTTGGTTGGTCAATACGATGCTCGACCCACTGCGACACGTCGGACACGTCCCATTCTACAAATCGGTCCCAAATGATTTATGGTTTTTTTTGTGGCGTGAATTCCCCTCGATTTTTGAGAATCCCTAGATCTCTGTCTGGCGGGCTAGCCCTTAGTTTCCTTTCCGAAGTCCCCTTTGGGACGATGCTGGGGGATGCCATCCGGATGCACGCACCTCTGCGTAGGCTTTGATCTGCTGGCGCGCAAAAAGCGCCATCGCCTACGACGGCAACGGCTGGCAAAAGCGTCGTGCCCCAGTGGGTAGAAAAGAAGAAATATGTCACACCATCAAAGCAGTTCATAGATATCCTCCTCTATATATATAATAATAATAATAACAATAATAATAAATAATAAATAATAATAATAAATAATTAATAATGACAATAATAATAATTAATAATGACAATAATAATAAATAATAATAAATAATAAATAATAATAACAATAATAATTAACAATAATAATAATTAACAATAATAATAATAATTAATAATTAATAATAATGATAGTAATGTATCCCCAATTATATCCCCATTGCATCCCCACTATATATCATGATATCCCCATCTATAGGGTGTTTCAAAACCCCAACCAGAAAAACCAAAAAACGATGTCTGGGCACCTGCGAGGCCGGTAGGGCAGCTTTGCCACGACCACCCAAGGCTAAACTCCACTCGCCCACCACCATTGGGAACCTGCGCCGGAGCAACGTCAAAACAAAATGGTTGTTGTATGGGGAGTACATAGTCCAGTACTGCTAATGATGAGAACATTTCTAAATATGTTTCAATATGCTAGTACAACCACTACCAGAAGCATGGTCGTTACAACCATTGTCATTCTAAGGATTTATCTCATTATAACTATTATAACGGTTGTTGTGACAATTTATACCACTAAAGGAGGCCTCCAACCCAGCTCTGCCAACCATCTCAGGCACCAGGATGGGGCCAAAACCAAGAGATGATGTCTTGCATCGCTGTTGACCATAGGAAAAAAATAGCGTATGCCGGCGTATGCCTGTAGGATCCTGTAGGTCTGTTACTTGGCCCTGGTGATTGCTTAACTGCCCCATAAGGTCCCCCCAATGTGTTGCTGGCTCTCTCCAGCTGGTTGATCTCCGTTGATTCACATCCCCACTGTTCATGGTGAAATCTCCATGTTCACCAAGTTGGTCAAAATCAGTGAAATCTCCCCCCCCCCAAAAAAAAGTGGTGTTTCATGGTCTACATCTCCAGATTCTCCAGTTTTGCTCCTTCCCAAGGTTTTCACGACTCCTTAGCTCCACCCTCCGACCTTCGCAACTCCTCCGCGTGGTCTTCGACCGCGCGAAGGTGCTGGCGGGCTGGTACTAAACCAAGGGTTTCTGGCAGGTATTTGATGTAGAAGGGATTGGGTGGGAAAGTAGGATTCTGACTCTACTTGGAGATATAAGGGAAGTCATGATTCAGTCTAGCATTGAGATTGTTTGTTGTTCTACTTGGGTCCAGAACTGTGGCTCAAATATAGCCACCTGGACACACCTGGAATTGCAACCATTGGGACCATGGTGAGGCCCCTACCTCTGCCAAAGTCATCCTGTTCCACTCATCTTCGAAGCAGTGGTAGTAGTGGACCTCGCAGCAAGCGCTGATCAAGTGGGGTGAACCCTTGGTGTGAGCGCGAAAGGCGACTTAAAGAAAGCCAAGAGTGGTATTGAAATGCAATGGTGTGATAGTGATGTGACCGACACCAAAAGCAGATATGAGATCACGAACAGTCGCAAAGGGTGCCACTTGGACGTCTTGTTTTACAAGGCACAGAGATCAAGCATCACCCTATATAGAGACCGGTTGAACGGGAGTACAACCGGTTCTCAAAACAAACCGGTTCTCAAAACAAAATCACCCAAACATCGAAACGGCCGAAACTGGTCAACTGGTAGCGTGCGCAAAAATTCTGTGGTCTTACCATTGAAGTCCAACTTCGGGACATGATTAGTGATGTGTGACTCTCAACTGTAAACATGACTTTTGAGCCAATCACTAAATGTTTGATCTTTCAATGAGACTTTTGAGGGGGTCAAAATTCGTAGAAGCCTCAAAGGCCCATAGATTTGGGCCACCCAATGACCCATACCCATCCCTGGTCAACGAACGTCGAAGCAGAAGTTTTCGTGACGGCCGCCAGACACACGTTCCCACCTCGGTCTCTCAGGTCTGGTCTGAAGGCAAACTTTGCATGAAATCCCGTGATTCTTCCGATATCTGATTTAGCCCTAGACCTCGGGTTTTTCAACTGTGACACTCCCAGTTTTGATATTTAAAGAAATCAGGTTTCAGCATGTTCCCGAAGAAAGTGTTCCAAGTTTTAAAAGTTGAAGATGGGAAGGTAAAACATAGGTAAAAACCCACGGTATCTAAAAGCCACGTTGAGTCAAACTCTCCGTGAAAATTCAGCCAGGCATGGCTCAGCAAAACCCTGGGCCCGCGGCGTCTTTACAAACCTCAGCACTTCCATGTTCGCAAAGAGCACAAATCGTCACAAATCCGGAAAAAACATGAACAATTAAATCCACTTAATTAAAGTAACTAAAGTAAAAGTAACGAAAGTAACTAAAGTAACCACACAGCCTATCCGGTGGTGAACGGAAGGAGCTAAGGAGCCAATCCCATGATGGCAGCTGAGTGTATCAATACACCTAAAACGCCAAGCAACTCCGGCACGCTACGCTGGAAGACGGGCAAAACCACAGTTACCTGGCTTGGACTGCAGGGTGGCCAGTGATAGGCTGGAAGGTCTTTCAATGGGGTGGGTCCCGGGTGGTTAAGGGAAAATAACGGGAAAACTGGGTTTTGCCGTTCAAATTCCGGGGGGGGTCTTCAAATTTGTCGCTCTTCAGTGATGGAAACCTGATGACAACGGCCCATCCCCACAACGACGTTCACCTCAAATCCCACAACGACTCTTCGACGCGTCTGCAGTTCTCTGGATTTCACTGCGAGCGGCGAAGAAATCACGCGGCTCCTCAAGAGTTTTTCCTACGAAACCATATGGCCACCTTGATGGATGCTCGTCCTTCATGGGATCTCTAGAGGATATAGCTATGGATCAAACACCAAACAAAAAAAAACAAAATTGGGTTAATGAACATTTGGGACTGTTGGTACTCAGAATGGGTGCCAATCGCCTTTTCGATTGCAACTTAAAAAAGAGATTCCATGCAAGCTGTAGGCTGAGTCTAGTTTGTCCAAAACTAGTGGTACAACGAAATCCACTGGTTCATCATCTTTCCGACACAACCATTCTGGGGTGTATACATGTGTATACTGCACTCAAAAGTTGAAACAATCCAATCTTTAATTTGTATCGACACACACTGAACAGAATGAATTTCAACACTACAAAACTTCTGAGCACTTGATCCTGAGGCTAGCAATATCATGGATGCTTCCAAGCTCTTGCTTCCCTGGACCAGCACATCGCCAGTTTGAAAGTTATAACTTCTTGCTTGGTGGTTTCAACAGTCGGAGGTTAAAAGCTGACATCGAACAGGATAGCCTCTAGCAGTTAAACATGGCAATTGGAAATCCCCTATAAATTGGGGTTTTAATGGGAAAAACCATATATATATATATATATATATTATAAATATGGTGGATTTTCCAGGCAAGAGGCAAGAGGGTAATATGACATGCTGAAACCACCATTCGCCACCAAGCGATGACATCGTCACGCCTAGTTCTGACTCAATTGACCTTCAAAAACTCATCCTCTCACGGCGCCAACGGTCGCCAACTTGTGTCCTGAACACAAAATCACAGGTACAAGATGATAGATCTGGGATTCTGTGCCCCTACCAACCAAAAAAAGTCTTTGTACTGTAATATGTTGTCATCAAATCACACAATAATATTGTGTATATATATATATTGTATGTGTATATATGCACCAGGCCCTGCCACCCCCCCCTCCCCCCCCCCGCATGGGATGGGTCCCATATTGAGATCTTCCCCCTCCCCCCCTGTGGTGTGGTGGGGGTGTGGTACTGTCCCCCTCCCCCCCTGTGGTGTGGTGGGGGTGTGGTATGGTATGTTGGGTATGTATGGTGTGTATGGTCGGTCTGGTATGGCATGTTTGGAAAGTATGGATGTATGGTAGGTATGGTATGTATGGCATGTATGTTTGCTATTGTATGTATGGTAGGTGTGGCAATTATGTTGCATATGTATGGTATATGTGGTATGTATGATAGGTATGATAGGTATGGTATGCATGGCATCATTGGAATGTATGGTAGGTACGGTATATGTTAAACACATGTAATGTTGTCAGAGTACACAGGTAGTAAATAGGAAGTAGATACATAGCACATGTATATATATTACACTATAGGTAGTACGTAGGTGTCACGTAGGTACTTTGAGGGAGTATATGTGCTACGTAGGTCACCTAAAAGGTAGCATGTACCTAGTAAATGCGAGGCTGGTAGTCAGAAATGCTGCAAAGACCTAGCAAATACGAAGCTGGACCTCAGAAATGCTGCCAATAGCTTGCAAATAGAAGGAAAGGGGGGGTGGTACCTGGGGACCCAACCCATGGGGGGGGGGAGGGGGGGGGTGGAGAGACGGAGGACGGGACCATATATACATATATACATATATTAAATATTCCCCAGGACACTCTCATGATCGGGTCCAGTGTAGTAGTATCCTTCTATAATACTACATTGTTCCAGTCGAAAACCAGATCTAGTTCTCATCAGTATGGAAAAGTAATTCATCACTATCTTAGAATCCGATATTTTTTCCCAACTTCATCACTTCCCAACTTTCCAACTATGGAAAAGTCATGCCCAACTTCTATCTTCGTTGGTAACACCACGAAACCGACGTCTTAAACGTTGCCGCGAACCTCAGACGTTGCCGAGGCGATATGACGCGGCCACCTGGGTACCACCCTTCGAGTGCTTGGTGATGGTTCCAACCTCCGCCCCCGTTGCAGGGAGGAAACACACACATAAAACGCGTCCCCAGTGATAGATGGCCTATATATAGCGCTTATATATAGGTTGTATGTGAGAGATATATGGGCAATATATGGAATATATAATAATTAATGAATATATATATATATATGAGATACATACATCATCAGTGATTTTGGACAACGATAACATACCATAACTACCCATCCGATTTCAAGAACGATCTGCTGTTGGCAAATCAGCCCACTCAATGTAAACCTGGAGCCCGGACCAGTTTTCCACCGGCCAGGTTGTAGCTTGCCTGGAGCACAGAAAAAACGGTGCTGCTAGGGGACTTCAGTGCTTGGGCTGGCTTCAAATCACCAATCAACGCTTCTGAAAATCTGCAACCAAGATCAGTCACTATCAAGAAGTTGTTCTTATCAGAGATTCCAAGTCTTCAATATGTTCCATGATTTCAAAACGTTGTATCACATATTTCTCTAGCAAATGTCCCATCATTTCCCAATCTTTTCCAGGTCTCCAGGGGAATCCAGTCCATTCCAGTCCCACCCAATGACCTCTGCACTCGTGGAGAGAGAAGGCCTGGGGATCTACAACACGAAGGATCCCTCGCTCCAAAATTCCATTTGACTGCCTGGTTGTTCCTCAAGCATCCAAAACGGATTCAACGGATATGGAAAATAAAGATAAAGGCAAACTCCTTGGAAAAAGAAAAGAAAACAACCTAAATCTACAGATTCAGCAAATGTCGCTTTTTCAAGCCCAAACCTTGATCAACCCACCAACCCTCGTGGCCCTCGTGGTCGCCTCTGCCGCCTCAGCCCGGGCCGCACCATGCGCAGCCGCACCGCCAGGTCCAAGTCCTTCGTACAGTGGTAAGTTTGGGGGTAAGATCCAATAGTAACAACTTTAAAAAAATGATAGGAGTTGGTAAAATCAGATATAAATTCACTAGTGATGAGTTACTTTTCTATCTTTTTGGAGGTGGCACTGCAAAATTCCTATGATTTGGGGACAGTATGGGCTATAGCTGGGATAACATAAGCCAAGCATTGGTATATTTTAGCAAACATAACATCTGACGTAGCTGGGTACCCTTAGCTACCCATTAGGTTAGTGCGAGATAAGCTAACCATTATTAATATCCCCATTAAAAATTGCATAAAAAGTTAACACTGTTTTTCTCCTGGCGAGTCGCTTTTCCATGAATGAATAGGTCCCCATAATTCCCATACGTCCTGAAGAAGTAAATTAAACACCCTCCAGAAAATTGGAACTGTGGAAAACACGCCATGAATGCAGAGCATTTTCCAGTTTCACCATGGCTTTTCCACATGGTTTTCTTAGTTTGCCCTAGGCAAATTTCTGGACATGGCTTTGTTTACTAATGGTGGATACCCTTAAAAAGATCAGTTTCATGGGAAAAATGTGCAAAATTTATCATCAAATTCGCGGGCACCAATAGACTATCCCCACGTTATTCCCCTAATACACTGGTTAGTTTTAGACCCCAAAAATGTGTGTTAGTTCAATCCCATCTAGATCCCATCTACAGTAAATCTCATGAAATACCTCCATTAAACACTCACTATATGACAATGTCACTATCATGTTGTTGGGAAAACTCCATTCGTGTCTCTTTGGCTCCCCATCTTTTATTCGGAATATGGATATGACCCCGGCTCCGAAGTGCTGAAGTGCTCCCTCCGTTCACCACCGGATGGACCATTGGATGATTCGAAGTCCATTAAAATCCCATAAAGATCCATATACGATTCACTGGATCTTTAACTAATGGATCTTTAGTCCATTCAAATTAGTATCATTACTCATGAACTAATTAACTAACTAACCCAGTCATATCCCGTGAATGTCCAGTTCGGATCAAGAATACAGTGTACTACTCGTAACGCCAATGTTTTCCAGATTATTGGGCAATATGCCATGATTCCCCATCTATCAATCATTTTTCCACTCAATCTATGGGATGTTCTCCCCCATGGGATTTATATAAACATTCTGTTAGGGATGTTCATATATGATGTGAATCTTCATCCCTATTGTTCCTCATCATCTTGAATCTCCCAATATCTCCCATAATAATCAATAATGTTGCTATGAATACTAATAATCTAATGTTCATTCATAATCCCATTAATGTAACATATCCTCCCATGATAACTATCAACTAATACATTAACTAATACATTCATGTTCATTCATAATCCCATAATCATTCATCATAATTCATCATATCCTCCATTAATGTGAATTCTTCCCATGATCATGGTTATTAATAACTAATAATCCCATGAATAATCCCATAATTCATCGTATCCTCCATTAATAATGCCCATAATAGAGGAATGAGATAATCCCATCATAATTATAATGGGAATGAATTAATTATTAATCATTAATTATTAGTTATTATAATGCCCAATCATTTCCATAATAATGGAAACTAACATAACTATGGAAAAACACCATGTTTAATGGGAAAATCCACTAAATGGCCATTTTCCATAGCTATGTTAGTCATTACCAGAGGGTAATGTCAATTCTTCCCATGATCATCCCCATCATCCCCCGGTCCTCCCCGCAGGGCTGTCGCAGCTCCGTTTCAGCGCTGCGCTCGCCGCTGCTGGACACCGAGGCACCCAGGGACTCGGTGTCCAAGGCATGGCCGTCATTTAATTCGAACTGGGGCTTAGTAGGGAATGGGATGATGGTTAATGATGGTTAATGATGGTTAATAGTAGTGATTATAGATGATTGGACATGTTCAGGTTGAAAAAATGGGAAATATCCACTGTAACTTATTCCAATACTGCAAATTGCGTGGTTTCTTTTGGATTCTTTCAATGACTTTTGGGGATTGATGCGATTTCAAAGTCTTTTGGATGGCATTGTTTCGAGCAGGTGCCAAAATTTGCTGGAAAGGGTCCAAAGAAATATTTTCTTTTGGCTTGGGGAAAACCCAAAACGCCCGTGTCTAGTCGAAGAAATGCTTGCTTCTGAGGTCCCGACACTCAACCCTTATTCATCAGCCGGCCTTCTAAGAAGCGACATGAACCAGAAAAACACTTAATAGCAGCTCAAGATTGTGCAGCCTATCTTCAAGGAGAAGATCATACTATAATATCTATAGCCTTTCATATCCTTTCATATCCTTTCATAATATGTATGTATACCCTCAACAATACTCAGAGTTTCCAGGGTATAACTAGCAATAAACCTCACCAGCCATGCTGCCAAGACACGGCTAGAAGTCTCCTACAATTGGACAGCCAGCCACGCTGGAAGGCAGTGAGATTCGCTAGGGGGTGGATCCTGGGCTGCTCCGAATGAATCACGAAGATTACCAGAAATGGAAGAGAAGTCACCATCAGAACTCAGCACTTGGGTTTATACCATATATATATGTAATATGTACATGATAATATATATATATACATATTGATAGTATTGATGATATTGATGATATAATAAATATATACATATATATTGCTAATATTGATGATATTGATGATATAATAAATATGCGTACACATATATTGATAATATTGATGATATTGATGTTATAATAAACTCTACAGCACCCGACAGAAATATGGAAAAAAAACGTTTCAATTTACAGGCGCCGCCTGTCTATGATAGAAAAGTTACGAACCTGTTTTTTTTCCATAATTATTGTTTCCATAATTTGTTTTTTTCCATAATTCTGTCGGTGACTGTATGTCCATCGATTCGCAATTTGAATGCATTTTAAGGGGGAATATTGAATTGTAGAAAATATGTGTCTAAAGATCTGGTATATGCCCCTAAGTCTTCCATTGATATACATAATATCATGTGATGTTCGCAATTTGAATGCATTTTAAGGGGGAATATTGAATTATAGAAAATATGTGTCTAAAGATCTGGTATATGCCCCTAATTGGGTTGATACTACATACTTGCATTTGCATACATATTTCCATAACCCCCAAAAAAAACGGGTTTGAATTGTGGATCCATGACATGTCCAACAGGTGGAGCCCCAAACATTAATTATGGAAAAAAATAATTATGGAAAAACCGGTCAATCTGCCCTCGCCCCCTGATTTCACTGGAAAAAACAATTATGGAAATAATGGCCACCTCCAAGAATTATGGAGAAAAAAAAAGGTTCGGATCACTTCCGGGATATTTTGAACCCTTATGGGGAAAAATCCAATTATGGAAAAATCGGACGCAGGCGCCGCCTGTCTAAGTTGAACGTTTTTTTTTCCCATAATTCTGTCGGTTACCATAGCGGTATATTGATAATAATGATGCATGTGAATGATATAATCCCGTTCCCCTAATATTCAACACCTCCTAAACGGTCTGTATGTATCCAATAGTGAACTATGGTTCCCGGGGTTTGTTCAATATTAGAGGGGAGGGATTATTGAGTTTACCTCTACTTGGAATAATCTAAAATAACCCGCCGTCATGGTTGGTGAGTGGGATGGTCTTTGCAGATGTTTTCGCGAAACTTTGGGATAGTTCCAACCACAATGCCTGCACAATCCCACGTTGCATTCCTTTCAAATGCATGGGACTGTGCAAGTCTTTCGTATAAGTATCCCTACTTGGGCAGCATATCTGCACCCCAGCTGAACCCAACCCCAAGCAAACCAAACCAAAATTCAAATCATCTGGGTAACAAACAATCCCATCCCCCAAGACCCCAGAATACCGCCCAAATCAGAGACCCCAAAAGTGAATAGATCCAATACAGGATTCCTATTCAGTTTGAATTTTACATACCACCTAGAAATCCTGGAATGTCATGAAATCCAACGAATTTCCAGGATTTTATATGGTATTTTATATGGTATCATCAGAATCTGGCAGTCCCAGCATCTGATGTCTCACAACGCCTGTAAGGCGAAAAGGATGCGACTGACTCACAGAGCCATCCAGTTGGAGTAGAGAGCCCTCCTGTGACAGAGATGACATGGGGCGTGTCTGAAAATGGCGTCCTGGACGCCACCAATTTATGGCACATATGTGGGTCGTGGAAAGCGAGGATCGACCATCAAGATTGGGAAGGGCAATTTTCCGACAAACCCATGTCCCATTCAGAATTGTTGTTCCAAGAATAGCTCAGCATAGCAAATGGCCTGGACATTTAAAACCAATCCACCAATGGCGATCGCCGTTCTTTAGTTCTGAAACCGTCCGGGTCGGGAAGGAATCCCGAGCAAACCCGAGTGGTTCTGAACTAGACTTGCGAGGAGTTTCAAACTTCCAATTGGGTTTGAAATCCATTTTGACAACTATTATCCATTCCAGTGGGGCGAGACTCATCTGATAATACTTTGCAAGTTGGAAATTTGGCCTTCTGGAAGCTGGTTTAACAACACTACATTTCACTCGTGGGTTTCACTTCCTTATCTCGGTTTGGATTGGCTCAAGGTGCCCCTAAAACAGTGTTTAAAATTGAGAAGGTTCCCCAATCATAGCGCATCAACCAATGGAAATCTCACAAAAAAAAAACTCAGCAGATCTAAGTTATCTGACCCTATTATCATATTGTCTCCCATCATTCCTAGTATTTTCCCACTAAAACCCCTAATCAAAACTCCCATCATTTCCCCAGGCCTGCGGCTTGAGGTTCAACGTGGCGCCCAGCTCGGAAATCAGCGGCGCACCAGAAGAGAGGCCTTCGCTTTTCGTGGTCGGCGAGACTCGGGGCTTCGTCTTGGTAGAAGACCCGGCTTCTAAATGGGCTACCCTCTGGTAAACTAACAGTTTGCTATTGAAAATGGCCATTTATAGTGGATTTTCCCATTAAAAATTGTGATTTTCCATAGCTATGTTAAATTACCAGAGGGTAAGTAGGGTGACCAGTCCGCTTGTAACTGGGGCGAACTTACCGATTTGCCAAGTCGGATGAGCCACCAAGTATGGATCGAAAAATGTGGATACGACTGGATTGAAGGGGAATTCTACGGCTGAAATCATGATTTTTGACATGAAACATGGGTGGGCTCCTGTAAATATTCCCGAAAATGATTCTAGGAATCACTCGACCCAGAAGAGTTTTTTATTTATGAAGCCATCCACTTTCGAGAAGTAAATTGGCATGGGCCGGGTCAAACTCGTCGGCGCTCAGAAAAAAAGAGATGTTGCTTGTCTTTGGAAGTAAACCCTGACTAAGAGGACCTACTAATCATGATTGCTATTCGTTTACTGTTGATTGAGCTCGGCATTGGGAAATTCCGATTTTCCATGGGTAGATCATCTGAGAATCCATGTATACTGCAACCCACTTTCAAGGGCTTGCCACTCATGTTTTCTATATTTGATCCGCCAATTAGTCACCCAACGTCCATGTCGCTTTCCATCTCTCTGATCTCAGCCTTGGTGGTTCATCCCACTTGGTAAATAGCTTGTCATCCTCCCAACGGTCCAGTGATTGGGGTCACCAGTCCCCCTAACCTACTTCCCAAGCAGCTTGGACCACCACATCCCCGACCCCCCCGAAGTGCCCCCACCCTGCGCGTGAAGCCGCAGGTTGTGCTCCCCAACGCCATAGAAGGCGGAGCCGCGCCACCTGCAGCGTGTTTCTTCTCATTTATATAATGATTGTCCCATTGCTGACAATGGAAGTTTTGGAGGTATACGGTATACCAAAATCATCAGACGCACGCAGGTGGACCCTTACGAAGTTTCTCTAGATTTAGGAGTTTAAGACAATGTGCTGAAATGAGTTCAAGACAATGTAATGCGGAGTCCATTTTGAACGTTTCATTAAATATTCAATTGAAACGCCAAGAAAAAAAATAACTCTAGTTCTGATTGAAGTATGAACCAACAAATCAGTTCCCTTGGCAATGGATACGGGATTGGTCAAAAGTCCTGGTGAGGCGGTTGGCCCATCATCAGATGGAGATACATATTATATATTACATATATATATAATATATTAATACATTTTTTATACATATATTATATATATAATTATAGGTCCATACTCCATAGTTAAATGTCAATGATTTTCAAACTATCTCAGATAATACATTTTCCAATTCAACCACACCCCTCTCGGCATCCCACCCCTCTCGGCATCCCACCCTTCTCGGCCAACATCGGCTTGTAGTCGCCAATCACTGAGCCATGACAAGAGGCCTGAGGGCCAGGCCATGACTCGAACATTCCGCTGGCTGCTGGGGAGGAATGATGATAGCATTGATCATGGAATCATGGCACATCATCAAAAACAATAATACATATATATATATATAGTTGTTTCTATGTTTACAAAGAGCTTACATTGCATCATCACCATAATCCGAACTGCAGAACTCCTAATTCAGCACGGTATCGACTGACAATCTCAGGGTTTGGATGACTTTGAAGATCGCTTCCAAACTATCCTCACCCATCCATGAATCTTCCTTTAGGCGCCTATGTCAGTCACACTCCCATTTGCAAAGCATTCATTTTCTTACGTAACAATACATGATAATGATGATAATGATGATTAATCTAATTAATTACTGACCTCACCAACCTCTCACTCTACTGTAGTATATTCATGTATATTCAGTATCATCCCATCCCCTATATAATAACTACATTAAACCCCCCCTACATAAATAGGTGCCAAGATGTGTCAATCCCATATTAGGTGCCCGAGCTCTTCAGCTGCGACAGGGGCTTGCACGAGGCACTGCCACGCTCGCCTGGTTTTTCGACGTGTTCAGGTCGTTGCCCCTACTTGGTAGGGATGAGCTAACGGGGGGAACATATCTAACTCCTCAAGATGGAAATATCTTGGTAGACGTTTGCAGAAGATCTTTGAATGATGTTGATACTTGAAGGATTTTTTGAAGATTCTTCACCAGCATCTGGACCTTTCGCAAACGACACACTGACACACTGAGAACATGCACCACCAACCAAGCTTTGATTTGACAGCATGGCACCTGGACATAGTGCCAGCACGATGCACAGCACTACCAGGAACCTGAAAGCACAGCTCAGCTATCAACCCACAACATCCCCTTACCTCAGGAAGGCCAATGGTTCATTGCTTACAGAGGAGAATCTACGAGGCGCGAACATCCTCAAGCTACAATCGCCCTTCATATGCCAAGAGTCCCTACTTTAAATCCATTGTTAAATCATCTCTTCTCTTCCCTATGAAAAACTGCCATTTTGGGTGGTACTTGGTGCACCCCATTTGCAGTTTCAAGGCAGCCTCCAGCGCCGCAGGGCAGCGCTTAGCCGCGTAGCCATGGCGTTTTGGCGCCAAAGTGTGTGCCCCAGGGGGGTGGGCCCAAGCCGGGGCGGTTGGTGGTTACGCCAGCAACGAATCATACCAGATTTTGATCCAAAAAATAGCGGGGGGGATCTTTGCCCAAGAAAAATGCCATTCAAAAGTATATAGAATCACTGGGCCAACTGCCACAGGTGCAAGTGAAATTTTGCCAGAGGTGGAAAGTGCTGACTGTCGGATCAACAATCAGAGGAAATGCCATGCTCGGACCCGTAACCAGTAAGTTTTCGTGTCCATGAAACTTGATTTGAAGTACAACTTCCAACAACAACTCCGGAAAACGTCACAATGTTCATACGTCATGTTCTGACTTCTTTCTTGTACTTTTCCTGGAGAAGTCGCCATGTTTCGAGTGTCGCGTCGCAGCTGCGGCTTGAGAAGTAGCAAGCTGCAGAGGAAAGGCTTGGACCAAAGTCGTCCATTTCACTGCTGGTTTCCAAATGAAAGTGAATTCACAGAGTTGGATGATGGGAAAATATACAGGAAACCAGGAAACCACTATATTTTATGGTTTGAAAAAATAACAATAATTGCTCATTGATAAATCCGTTTGAGTGCTTAAGCATAGATAAAAACAAGGTATTCCTCTATTGTTTCTACATTGTAGCAGAAAGAAAAGGCACAGTGGGTGAGTGCCACGTTCCTTCACGGTTCCTGATCATGTGAGGTTGAAACTCTTAGTAGCTCCTTGGCTCCCCATTTCGGGGCTGTACTTCCCATCTCAAATAACGGGCATGGGTTTGTCTGAAAATTGGATGCCCTGATACCAAAACTGACCGGTTCAGCATTTTCCTGGGATTAAGATTGCCATAAATTGGAATAAATTCCCCATGACTGGACATAAATCCAGAAATATCCATATAATCCGGCAATCGGTATGTACACATGAAACATATATTAGATAGCCATCCTAAAAGAAAAGAGAAAAGTAATCATCAGCAAATTAGGAGAAATTTACTGTTCTATCTTTTCAGGGGTGACATATATAATATATCCATAGAATCTCCATAATTAGAAACTCAAACCCATCCAATCCCTTTCAGGGTACAACCCCCAATATTGTCCTTTGTTTGGTATACAAATTACTATCATTGATCTACCAATAAAGGTTGCTTTTCATGCCGCGGGACCTTCTCGACCAACCAGTGGGACATGACATCTACTTCAGGGTGCATTTCCAGTTATAAGTAAGTAGATAACCAGACTTATGGGTGTTTTATCCCAACTTCAAGGGGTTCCAACTATGGTTACCCTCTGGTAAACTAACATAGTTATTTGAAAATTGCCCATTCATAGTTGATTTACCTATTAAAGTGCTGATTTTCCATATGTTCAAGTGTTACTTTAGCAGAGGGTACCCATGATTTTCACCCCTGGCCACCCCCAAGTAGTCCAAACATGGCGGCCACCCGGTCTGCTGACATCCCTGAGGCCCTGATCACACTCACTGCCTGAGACAAGGGGCACATGGCTTGGAAGTCTTGGAAAATCATCGTTTCCCCTCATTTTTGATGGGATTTCATGGGATTTTGATGGGATTTCAATAGGGATCCAGTAGGGATGTCATAAGACTAGATGGGATTTAACCAACAAAAATGCAGCTAACAAACGTTTTTTGGGGAGAGTGAGGATACTCCATTGGATGTTTGGGGTACATAATTTTGAAACTAACCCATATTAGGAGTATATCATATCCATGTATGTCCCTACTAATTTCACTGCCCTGGTGTAAATATAAACCCTGGTTTTGTATTGGATCTGTGCATTAGAGTGTCCTTGATTTGGAGGGTAATGAACCTTTTGCGGATGTTTGAATTTATGGATTTGATTTTTGGGGCCAAGGATTCAACAATCTTACACTGATTGGTGGCATTATTTGACTTTCAAATTCAAGGGGAATACCAAAAAAAATAGGTTAACCCTTCAAATCGATCTTTTGTTCAATTTTCTTGGCAAAGATACCTAAAAATAACATGTATAGAATACCATGACATGGATTTGGTGCCTACAGCATAAGTACTACCCTTTCTTCGCTAGGACAAGGGGGGCCTGGTCGTAGAATCCAGCCAGGACGTCTGCGGGAATGAAGCGCGATGGCTCGTTGCACACCGCAAGGCCCTTGACCTCGAGTCGTACCGAAGCAGCGGGGCGCAAACGGGGATGAGGTGCTGGCATTTTGTTCCAAAAACAATGGGAAAAACAATGAAATTGGATGCAATTGGACAGTTTAATGGCAGATATGGATATAACTACCAAATTAAAGGGTTTTACACACCTTAAAACAACGGGGTTTCACCTTGTACATTTGTGACTCAAGTTCCTTCTTGGTGAAGCACATATGTTGCACAAGCAGAACATACTCGTGATAGTGCCCATTGGAAAGTGTTCGTTTGATGGAACACATCTGAAAGTTGAAAACAACATTGAACTGTTGGACAGAGCATCGCCAGATTTGTCGGACTTGGTAGGTGTTGGATCGCCGGGGCGTCAATGGCCAATAGCAAACAAAATGATTTTTCATGGGGTGGTGTACGCGGAAAGCTTGTCCAGTTGCAAGCAACACAGTGACACATGTACTAAGCTCAGATGATCAGCGCTTTGACCCGTCCAATGGATGGTTTTTACTAGAGCCAAGGCCGCCCAATCACAACTGAGGTCCCTGCATGCGATCGGTCACAGTATCGCCGCGCGACGACCTGGATACACCGGTTTTTGTAAGAACTCTGCGCGCGAGCGCTTTCATCCATGCTGGCTCTTGTCACAACACGATGTGAATGGGAAATTTGTCCTATCAGACCCCCTGCCCCAGAATGCGACCCCGGCCTCTAAAGCTTGCAGCGTTTCAATTCTTCTCCAGCATGTCCAATCCTCAAGCAAACTCTGGACGCGTTTAGCTTTTGTCGCAGCTTGCACGCAGGCGCTCTCGGCGCTGCGCGGGGCACCAAGCTTTGCTTCTGCTACAGGCAGCAGCGTGTTGGCCCCAAGGTTTCTACTTCTACCGACATGTCATGCCCCAATTGCGATGACGCCATCCCCTGACATATATTGCGTTTTTCTGTTGATCCGCTGATTGCAGCTTCAATGCCAGCAGCTTATGTGGCGTTGGTTGAAAAAGCTAGATGGTCAAGGTTTTGCAAGGCTGCCTGACCTTTGCAGCAAGTCTCTATTTTTTTTGTGAGGAGACCTTAGATGCCTCCGTTTCCGTTGGATTTGGGGGATGAAGAACGCGGGAACCACCCTGAGTCTGCCAGCCATTCCTTCTTTGAACACCATGCAGAAAGGACTGTCAAAACAAAGGCTGAGCAGCCAGACTTATTGGAATCTGCACCGTTTTCCCGAAATTTTGTTTTCCCCACTCAAAAAAGTACAGTATATGAACAAAGCTTGGGGAACTGTTCGGGGTCCAACCAATTTTCGGACATACCTTGTGGACAAGAGTTGGGTAGTGGTCATCATTCATCTCTACCATGAAAACAGAAAATTGGATGGGCAAACAGAACTTCGTCCTGCTGCGTTTTAGGTCATTGCACCTAGAGATCTACAGCAAGGACATGTTTCGGGATTCGAGTTGCACACATCAGCCTGTCTTTCTTCATCCCAGGAGTTACCAATGTGGAAAGGGCAAACTGTTGGAGTTTCCAACGAGCTGCCCATCAGACTCAACATCTGTTGAGAAATTGGAGGGGCTACCATCCATAAGCAGCGACCCCCTTGATGATCATCTGAGACAACTCCAGCAACATGGAGGCAACTTGGTGGATCCATCAGGTCATGAAACCTATCCGGAAGATTCCGGAAGATGGTTTTTGAAAAAATGAGCCCGGCCCTGCTCTGACCTCTGACCTCTGACCCTCATGGAGCCTATTAGGCACTAAGCAGAAAATGGATTTGATTCGATACGATCAATCCTCTTCATATGATTCAGTGAAACGTCGCTCCGTCGCTGGCAAAGAAACCAAAAGGATCAAAAAACTACCATGCAAAGGGAAACCGAACTGATACAAAGAGAAATTGTCATGAGTTCATGAAGTCACAAGAAGAAAAATGGTTCTGAACGCGAAAAGGTCCTGAGTGTTTCGAAACTTGGTCAGGAGTCTTCAAATCCTACTCTCTGGTGTCTTTTAGAGGATGTGTTTCAAACTATCCTGCCAAGCAGCCCATCCCCGGAAGACGCGGCCGCAGGGGGCATCAGGGCCTGGGACTGCGATGGTGGGGCGGCAGAATCGGCACGGAAAAGAAGTTGGAACCAGATGTTCACCAGCTATACAGAAGAACTACCAAATGTGGCTTGAAAATCCTTTATACAAATTAACCGGTTAAAAAATTATTCAGAAACCAAAAAGTATTCTTCGGAAACCAAGGGTTATTCGGAAACCAAAAAAACCTGATTCGGAAACCAAGGATTATTTGGAAACCAAAAGGTCTTCTTTGGAAGCCAAAAAAGTATTCTTCGGAAACCAAGGTTTCTGCGGAAACCAAAAAGTCTAGATAGGAAACCAAAACATGCCCACTGTCCCTGTCACTGCTGCGTTTTTTAATATATCTCCCAGCAACTATCATCTTAAGTTTCGTCCCGGATTTATTTGGCGCGTTCTTTGCGCTTCGAAAGCGCCGCCTTCTTCTTAAAACACTTCTGTTCAGCCATTGCAAGGATTTGGTCTCTTGTGAAGTACAACATGCAACATTTAATCATAGTGGTCAGAGTGGGCGGCGGGGTTTAGATCTCTTGTGAAGTTCGACATGCAACATAGTGGTCAGCGGAGGTGGCGGGGTTTAGATTCCTGGTTAAGTTCAACATGCAACATTTAATCATAGTGGTCAGAGTGGGCGGCGGGGTTTAGATCTCTTGTGAAGTTCGACATGTAACATAGTGTTCAGAGGGGGTGGCGGGGTTTAGATTCCTGGTTAAGTTCAACATGCAACATTTAATCATAGTGGTCAGAGTGGGCGGCGGGGTTTAGATCTCTTGTGAAGTTCTGGTTTCAAGTTCCTGGTTAAGTTCATGCAACATTTAATCATAGTGGTCAGAGTGGGCGGCGGGGTTTAGATCTCTTGTGAAGTTCGACATGTAACATAGTGTTCAGAGGGGGTGGCGGGGTTTAGATTCCTGGTTAAGTTCAACATGCAACATTTAATCATAGTGGTCAGAGGGGGTGGCGGGGTTTAGATCTCTTGTTAAGTTCAACATGCAACATAGTGGTCAAAGGGGGCGGCGGGGTTTTGATCTCTTGTTAAGTTCAAGATGCAACATAATGGCCAGAGGGGGTGGCGGGGTTTAGATCGCTTGTTAAGTTCAACAAGCAACAGACTAGTCAGAGGGGGTAGCGGGGTTTTGATCTCTTGTTAAGTTCAACATGCAACATAGTGGTCAGAGGGGTTGGCGGGGTTTTGATCTCTTGTTAAGTTCAAGATGCAACATAATGGCCAGAGGGGGTGGCGGGGTTTAGATCGCTTGTTAAGTTCAACAAGCAACAGACTAGTCAGAGGGGGTAGCGGGGTTTTGATCTCTTGTTAAGTTCAACATGCAACATAGTGGTCAGAGGGGTTGGCGGGGTTTTGATCTCTTGTTAAGTTCAAGATGCAACATAATGGCCAGAGGGGGTGGCGGGGTTTAGATCGCTTGTTAAGTTCAACAAGCAACAGACTAGTCAGAGGGGGTAGCGGGGTTTTGATCTCTTGTTAAGTTCAACATGCAACATAGTGGTCAGAGGGGTTGGCGGGCTTCAGATCTCTTGTTAAGTTCAACATGCAACATAGTGATCATAGTGGTCAGAGCGGGCGGCGGGGTTTAGATCTCTTGTGAAGTTCGACATGTAACAACATAGTGGTCAGAGGGGGTGGCGGGGTTTTGATCTCTTGTTAAGTTCAACATGCAACATAGAGGTCAGAGGGGGTGGCAGCGTTTTGATCTCTTGTTAAGTTCAACATGTAATATAGTGGTCACAGGGGGTGGCAGGGTTTTGATCTCTGGTTAAGTTCAAGATGCAACAGAGAGGTCACAGGGGGTGGCAGGGTTTTGATCTCTTGTTTGCATCTTGAACTTAACAGAGAGGTCAGAGGGGGTGGCGGGGTTTTGATCTCTTGTTAAGTTCAACATGCAACATAGTGATCATAGTCGTCAGAGGGAGTGGCAGGGTTTTGATCTCTTGTTAAGTTCAACATGCAACATAGTGGTCAGAGGGCGTGGCGGGGTTTAGATCTCTTGTTTCTTTTTGGTTTCTAATTCGTACATTTTGATTTCTGAATCGTACGTTTTGGTTTCTGACTCGTACATTTTGATTTCTGAATCGTACGTTTTGGTTTCTGACTCGTACATTTTGGTTGCTGAATCGTACTTTGGGTTTATGAATCGTGTTTTTTTTTGGTTTCCGAATCATGGCCTTTTGGTTTCTGAATTGCTGCGGTTTTGGAAGCTGAATCGGTCCTTTTGGTTTCTGAATCGTACTTTTTGGTTTCTGAAGCGGACGACGATCAAATTAACCGCCAGCACCACATCTGGGACAGGCCCCAAGATTACAACGTTGTCGTGCACCCTAGAGTGAAGGTCCAATCCAAAAAAAATAAAGTAGAACTGGAAAATACATCTGGCATCCATTCTCCACGCTGATCCATTCACTACATCAGCATCCAAAGATGCTTCCCCTTCAAAGCAAAAAAGTCTTGTAGTCACACTGGGCTCACCGACTTTCACCACCAGGGCAACCATGGAGGTCAAGGAGCACCTGCAGAAGCAGATGGGGACCGTGCTGGTGCTTGGAGGAAATGCTGAGTTGAGTTCCACAATGGTGGGAAGAAAGCAAAAACGCCATGCCACAGCTGCTACAAACAGCTGCCGTCTTGATTAAACCCCAAAAGATCGACTTCAAATCAGATTCAGAAATCCATGCCTCGAAAGAACCATCTGATAGAGTCGTGAGATCATTTCAAGGTGGACCTTAGATTTTCACCCACGCAATACGAACGGCACCTCCAAGTCACACTCTTCTGCCCACTGCACCGCACGGTCCAAATACTCCAGGGCTGGGCCCTGGCGGAGTGGCCGGGGATCTGGGATGGGATCAAATGCACAGAAAAGTGTGGAAGGCAAAATCATTATCTGAACTTTGAATTTTCACGTTCTGGAAGGTCACCTCAAGTACGATGTCACTTCACTTCGCAAACTGATGCCTTCCTTTTCCATCCAGCCAATAGTTAGCTTCCGGAGGCACCGGCACCGCATGCGCCTCGTACGGATCGCCGTGGCTGGGGCCCAACACGATCCAGTATCCGAAGGGCACCTCAAGCTTCAGGCCACAAGCAGGGAAGTCGAGTCCAAGAACACAAGTTGTATGAGCTTACTAAAATTGCAAGAGATGTGTCAACTGAGGTAGGCATAAGTCATGTCCCCTTTCCCTGCACTCAACCAGCAAGAGCTCTTTCAGTGGTTGCTAGATCTATGCAAAATACACGTCAGACTTCTCTTGCAAGATTCCGGCTTCACAAAAATCGATTACAAGAAGGCCTAGTGCACAGACATGTGCTATACTTCTCCCTCAACTCCTTTTTCCAACAAGTGAGGACGCGAGCTGCCCCATTTCAATCCCAGGTCCTCCAGCCGTTGGATCTGCTCCTTGGTGAGAATGCCCCTTGAATGTGCAGCGCGTTGTCTTGCTACCCAGCCGCCGAGTTTGAAGCCATCGGAAGCCTCATAATCACGAGGCACAACAGCATTTTGATGCTCTTTCTTGTAGTCTTGCAGCCTTTCAGTACCTTGCTCCCACATGTGGCCATAGACATTCCAAATGAATCCCACATTATCAAGGCATTGGATATGTTCCTTGCCCAGTTTGCCTCTGGACTTTGCCACACGTCTCTGGTTAACCCAATTGCCAAGTTTAAAGCCATCAGCAGTCTCATAACCCTTAGGTACAAGCACATGTCCATGCTGTCTCCTGTAGTCTTGCAGCCTGTTGATGCCTTGCTCCCACAAGTGATCAAGAACATCCCAAACAAATCCCAATTCGTCAAGGCTTCTGATCTGCTCCTGACCCAGCTTGCCTTTGGACTTTGCCATGCGTTTTTTGCTGACCCAAATGCCAAGCTTGAAGCCATCAGAATCATAATCATGAGGCACCAGCACATGTCCATGCTTTCTTTTATAGTCTTTCAGCCTGCTTATGCTTTGCTCCCACCAGTGGCCAAGAACATCCCAGACGAATCCCAAGTCGTCAAGGCTTTTGATTTGCTCCCGGCCAAGCTTGCCTTTGGATTTTGCCACGCGTCTGTGGTTGACCCAAAGCCCAAGTTTAAAACCGTCAGGAGTGACATAATCCGAAGGCACAAGTACATGGCCGTGCTTTGTTTTGTACTCTTGAAACCTGTTGATGCCTTGCTTCCACAAGTGATCAGGAACATCCCAAACAAACCCCAAGTTGTCAAGGCTTTTGATTTGCTCCTGGCCAAGCTTGCCTTTGGCCTGTGCCACACGTTTCTGGTTCACCCAACTGCCAAGTTTAAAGCCGTCAGGAGTGACACAATTGCGGGGCACAAGTACATGTCCGTGCTTTGTCCTGTATTCTTGGAGCCTTCTGATCCACCGTTCCCACCGGTGATCAAGAACATCCCAAACAAATCCCAAGTCGTCAAGGACTCTGATCTGCTCCTGACCCAGCTTGCCTTTGGACTTTGCCATGCGATTTTGGCTGACCCAGATACCAAGTTTAAATCTGTCAGGAGTGACATAATCATGAGGCACCAGTACATGTCCATGTTTTTTCTTGTAGTCTTTCAGCCTGCTGATGCTTTGCTCCCACCAGTGACCAAGAACATGCCACACAAATCCCAAGTCATCAAGGCTTTTCCTGTGCTTCTCAAGAATGTGGCCTCTGGACTTTGCCACGCGTCTGTGGTTAACCCAAAGCCCAAGTTTAAAACCGTCAGGAGTGACATAATCCGAAGGCACAAGTACATGGCCGTGCTTTGTTTTGTACTCTTGCAACCTGTTGATGCCTTGCTTCCACAAGTGATCAGGAACATCCCAAACAAACCCCAAGTTGTCAAGGCTTTTGATTTGCTCCTGGCCAAGCTTGCCTTTGGACTTTGCCGTGCGTTTTTGGCTGACCCAAACGCCAAGTTTAAAGCCGTCAGGAGTCTCATAATTATGAGGCACAAGAACATGTCTATGATCATGGCTGTATTTTTCTAGCTTTGTCCTGCCCGTCTCCCACAGGTGTGCAGGCACATCCCACACGAATCCTAAGCCATGAAGGAGCTCCACCTGAATGTTGCTGAGAACTCCCCTCTTATATGCTCCACGCACCCATTTCACCCACAAGCCAAGCTTGCATCCAGCACGCGTGCATCGTTGTGGCACCAAAACATGCCCATGCACTTTTTTGAACAAGCAGAGCTCCCGCATTTCCATATCCCATGCGTCTTGGCCCCGACTCATTCCCAAAATCCTCGGAAAAATGGACACCCGCAACAGCCGTGCAACAGCTTCTCTTGCTGAAACTTGCAATGCTGTTGTTAGCAAGGCTTCTGCCAAAATACCGACGCGTCCGTTGCATCCTTCTGCCGACAACGAGCTTTCAAAGGCGGGATCCGAAGTTGCCAAGTCACTCAACAAGCGGCTCAGCTCGGCATCTTCCAGCAGGGTGTCATTTTCGCATTGTATAACGGGTGGGGCAATAATCAAAGCCTGAAGCTGTGTGGCAGAGCCAGTTTGCTAGCACCTTTGACCTTTAACACAAGTTTTGGACTGGCATGTGCAAGACAAATCAAGTGCCAAATTTATGAACTATGGGAAGTCAGAAGTGTAACTACCGCAGTTGATATCATTCTGTCCATCTCCAAGCAAGTATGTAAACAATTCTGTCGCAGACAGCACAAAGCTGCTGAGCCAAGTGACATCAATCTTCTCCGGATGCGTTCGCAACACCCTTCCCACACATTGTCTCAACCTGATGCCCCTCCTCGGTGCCACAAACAAACACGTGTCCGCCGCCGGCAGATCTACCCCTTCACTCAGCACATCCACCGTCACCAGCACCCGAAGTCCGCCATGCGCCTCACGCCGCTGGAAGTTCGACAGGATCTCCTGCCGTTGCGAGGCCAAGGTCTGGGCGTTGTAGTGGTCAGCTGCGATGCCAACATCCAGCAGCATGTTGGTGAAGGTAATGGCTTCATGGACAGTGTTGCAGAAGGCCAGAATCTTTCGGGCGAGGGGCCTGGGATGACTTGGCAAATTGTGAGGTGGGAAAATGTGTTTTTTTTAAATCTACACACGCATTCCTGAAAGAGTAGTGGGATGTGAACCCTTTTCAAACTGTTGGGATCAAGAAGTCAAAGTCAACTGTTTGTCATAAGTGGAAAGAGTCACATTTACCACAAAGACTGATGCTGCATAAACAATTGCTTGAGGTAGTCTCAAAACAACGCAAATCAAGAACATGTACACTCGCCGAAAGTCTGTCCGCACAAATGTTATCAAAAACAAAACTCTGAAGCAAAGGCAAGTGACAAATTCTGAATGAGCTTCACCAAACTGGGTCGGGGATCCCCTTCAGTCACCACCGGCACCATCACCGTATAGTCCTTGATAACCCCCTCTTCAATGGCCGGCCGCAGCCCAAAATCGTAGTCCGGCGCGTTCAGCAGCAGCGTGGCGGTGAAGAAAATCCGCTTGGCCGCTGTCAGACCGAGAACTCGCCCGGCATGGATGCCACCACTGCCATCGTTCAGGCCATCTGGAGACGGTTCGTAGTGATGAGCTTCATCCAGCAGCAGCAAATCCAGTGTCACATTCTGCAGCTGCCAAGCGGAGTTGCGGACGCACACGAAGATGTCGGCCTCCAAATCCGCTGGGCAGTTGGTGCCCACCCGGGAGATTCTGCACTGGAGGGTTTTCTCCAGAAGTTGCGCCATCTGCTCCATCAAATCCAACTTGGGCACCATGACGCAGGCGCGTTTCCCAGGGCCCAGCTCTGCCAACAGATCCAGCATCACCAGACTCTTCCCAGCACCCGTGGCCATTTGAACGAAGAAATCACGCTTGGAGGTCAGGAGGAAGTCGTGGCAGCGTTTCAAACACTCCAATTGGTGCGGCCAACGCTTCAATTTGCTCTTGGAGTGCTGTGAGATTTGCTTGGCTGGTCGCTGCTTTCGCGCCACCTCTCCTGGATGTAGCACAAAGATTTCAGGATGGGAAGGTAACGAGCAGTTTCTAAGTGTAATTTCTGACCAACAAACCCTGACTAGACTTGGATATCATGGCTTCCTCTCATAGTCAGTCTGGGATTATTCAAACCCGAGAAAAAAATGCTGCCAACACCACCAAGCATCGCCATGTGGCAATCTCCTTAGCCGTGTACCTCCTATGAATTGCTCCACTCATCTGCTGCCAGTAGTCGGGCAGCTGCGTGCTCTCATTGGTGGCCACTATGAGTTGCTTCACAAAGGGCATCAACGATGAATTCTTGGCCATGGCCATGAAGTAGAAAGTCGTCAGCCTCAGCAAGGAGCTGCCCTGGAACCACAAAGAAAGCTTACAACTTGACCAGAAAGGTAAAAGAAGAAACATGGTATATTCATAGCGTACAAAATGCCAACACACAAGTCTAGTTTATCAGCATCGCTTGGTCAGATATTGCAACCTGCAACCGTTGACACATCCACCCCCAAATCCAACACACACCAAACACGTCCAAACCATCCAAACACAACTCCTACACCCCTACCCCCAAACAAAAAATCCATCCCAATCACCATTGCTGACTTTACAAATTTCAAACGGTCATGGCTATAGCTTCTGGTTCTGGTTTCACCACCTTACCATTTCCACTCCCAGGCGCCGGTTCAACGGCACCGCCCCACCGTAGTCCTTGGCCTGCACTGCCACCGTGAGGTTCAACGCCAGCGAATCGATGCCCCGATCCTCCAACGGCAGCTGCAGGTGCTGCTTGAGGCAACGCGGCAGTTGGTTCCAGGGCACCGTGTGGAGATCCAGGGCACTGATGAGTTCCTTTGGGGCACCAAACAAGGGTTGGAGCATCTGTTGCCTGGTGCTTTGGGAAGATCTTTGTGCTAAAAGCTGACAACAACTGTTGACTGATTGTGTGGAAACTCTCTCAAGGTGATGCTAAAGTCTTTGAACTTGGACTTTTTGCGAACACTGGGATTTGTTTGCCAAACCTCTTGAGCAATGTGGATTGGTTTAGGGCGTTTCCATCAAGATATCTTTGTTGTTGGTTGGGTTTGTCTCAGGGGCAAGACATCCTCACAAACGCCAAAGAGAGAGCCAATACAAGCAAAAAGACACTCACATCCACCACCAGAATCAAGCTAAACCGCCTAAACCCACAAAGGTCACTTTCACCACCAACCACCACCAAAGAAATTACGTGCTAAACTGCTAAACTTCCAAGTGTCCAGCTCCCTTCCAGGCGCCAGATTCCCCACCGCCAGCGCTTCCAAGGCCTTGGCCCTGACCGCCCGCTGGATGCGCCGCACCTCGGCGGCCGGCAGCACCAGGCCGCAGCCGGCGATCCACGCGGCAAACGACAGCCATGGGAGACCCACGCGACGCCGGGGCATGGCCAGTGACTGAGCCAAGGTGGCCATGGATGCTGAGTGGGTTCACAAGGAATCAGCTATATAATTAAATCTAACTAATAGTAATGAACTGTGGTTCTGAACTATGGTTCTTGAGGGTGAACTTCAACATATCGTCAGCTGCAAGATTTGCTCATCAACATCAACGTGCAATCAAATCAAAGCCCTGAGGTCGGCATGAGGTCGGCACGCACACAGCGTTGAGGCCCATGTTCTTGATGGCCACAAAATCCTCATATGTCATATCTGAATCTCCAGAGGTGTTTGGTGGGACTGAAAGGTTCCGCAAAGCCAGCATACTTTCTTGAACTCTTATGCCCTTGGTGGGTTCTCTGCGAATTGTTCAACTCGTATTTTCACGGGACCTGAAGGAATCAGCACCATTCGTGCTGTTCATTTTCCAGGACCCCAAGCTGATGAATCTACTCAGATTCAACACCGGCCCACCATGGAGGTCCTCCTTCTGAATAAAGGTCTCGCGATGTCGGTGCAAGATGTCTACGGCCTGCCAGGCATGTTGTGCTGAAACTTCTCTGCAAATAGCCATTCATAATTGCAAGTGGCGCGTTTCTCGAGTTCGAATTGTAATGTGAAAATGGGAAACACCAAAATGTTTAACTACCATAATTTGTTTTTTATGATGCTGTCATCCCTTAAACTTCTTAAACAACCAACTAGTAGAGTTGTAGTGGCCGTTTCACACCACGCTAAGACCCTCATGGACATCACCACGCCAAGCCCGTGCGCCTGACGTCTTCTCAAGGTCTCCATCAAGTCCCACTCACATCGACCAGTGTCTCGGCACAGCCGCGACGTGTGGCAGCTGGTGGCAGCTGGTGGCAGGTTGCCAATAATTCTAAGGAACATAAAAAGGTACAAATATGCACAGATACGGTATTTGTTCGCAAAATCACGCAGAACTGCGGACATGATCAAATCAGAAAATCGCTGAACAAGAATTTCCTCGATCAACTGCAGCATCTAGTGCATTCACCAATCGACCCAGCCCAGCTGAGCAGCCCGGGCTCAGAGGTGCAGAGGGGCCGGGCTCCAAAAGTAGCCACCCACCGAGGTTCACTCCCCGCCTCGCAGTGGAGGCGAAAGATTGGGAAAGTAGGTCATGGTCAAGCATTCATTTAACCAGGTTATATGATTCGAAATTGTACTAGTCAATAGTCAAATAGTCAACTTAACCGGCTTATGTAATACGAAATATGAAATATGTGTATTTTCTACAATCAACAATAGGAATTGAACAAGGAAATGTCTTGGATGATGTGGGGAAACCCAAGAAGAAAGCACATCCCAATCGACCCAATATGCCCATTGACCCAACTGCAAGAAACACACCCAAACAGGCGCTGAAAGCTTCCGCTCAATGAAGTTGAAAGTCCCTTTTGGCCTGACCTAACTAGAATCAGCACGTTCAAGAATTGGGTTCTACCCTCCAAAATAGTCATTTAATAGTGTTTAATAGGGAAAATGATGAGAAAACCATGAAAACCATGGAATTTTGCATCCATTTCCAAACGGGCCCTGTTCGCCCCAACCCCTATGGTTACTGCAGTTTTGGGTGCTCCGGCCAAGGACGAGCGCGGCCTGACCCAAAAACTCACATGAGTCACTTGGGTTGGGAGGTAGGGATGAAGAAAATATCATAGATCTATAGGGCAGAGACACTCCACAGAATGGAAACAGAAAACATGCAACAGGATATTCTTGGGGGGATTGACTGATTTACTTGGCCAGCGAGTTAAATTCACCCATCACAGTGCCAAAAGTTGCAGGTGTTGAAGAGGTGCTGAGACATTTACATACATCTTTGTGCTGCAACTTGCTTAGCACCAAAATTGTGGGGTACCCTACAGCGACAATTAAGGGAAACGATGATAAACCTTCCCACATTTTGAGATAAGCCCAAATCTGTGTTTTTTCACTTTGGGAGTGAGAAGCGCGGGAAGAAATTTGGACAACAACATCCACACATTCTTTTCTATTCTATTCACAGGCAGCAAGTCAAGGGTGCCAAGCACATGTTTCTGCTTGGAACCCATTAAAATACTGTGGCTCAGCTGGTGTCGAGCAACTTTGGAAAAGGCCACAGCCAAGAACTCATGGCTGTTCTCAGATGCTGCTGACCCAGGTGTTGGCAAGGTTCCAGATTCTAGTGCAAACCACAACTGTACCCTCCGGTAACTTAATGTAGCAATGCAAAATTGCCCATCTATGATGGTTTGCCATGTATGAATGGTGACTTTCCATAGAAAGCGGTTCATTAGCCAAAGGGTACATCTCTTTGTGTTGTTTATCATACTAGTAGGTTCCATATTCGAACATCTTCCTACACAACAGATCCTTGGGGCGTGGGCCAAACCACCCGACACCCCAAAAAGTTCTGCAAAAAAGCTGCAAAAGTCAAGGGGCAGTGGCGGCAGTGGTGCCACCACTGGCGGTGGTGCCACCACTGGCGGCGGCACCACTGGTGGTGGCCGCACCACTGGCTCGAGCACTGAACTCCTGGAGGCTCGCCACACATTTGGACCCACTTTACACCAACCACAATCACCACATTCTCTACAGTCCAAAGGTCCGAAACAAGAACCCTCTTCCAAACCTTTCCAACCCTCCCAACTTGACTTTCAACCCTTGCACCTTTAACTTCTAGCCCTGCCAACCCTTCCCCACCATCCCCAGCAGCTCCTGGTACCCTTCCTTCGCCAGCCTCAAGGCCGCCTGCAGCGCGATGCCAGGACCGCCCAGGCGACACGCCAAGTTCCGCTCGTAGCTGTCGAGCCTGACATGGCCAAACCATCCAAAGCTTCCCATCCCAAGGATGTTAAGCCTGGAAAGATTGAATTGATTTCAAGGCCACTTCTGGACTGGATAACTTAGATGACTTAGATTTCTTTCGGGCATAGCAAAATTCTAATTCTTGTAGGACTCCATGTTGGCCATCCACCAGGAAAATAACCAAAAATGTATATCAACCATCCAACCATCATCCATCCAACGTCAATCTAACCACATTCCAACCATCAAACCAACTATCCACCTCTCCACCCATCCACCATCCAACCCCTCGCGCCTGTGCGGAAACAAGGCCTCCGCGGATTTCGCCACCTCTTCCGAGGCCACAGAGCTGCGGCTGCCTGGCGAAATCGCGACTGCTTTGGAGTTGACAATGTCATTATCATATAGATATCTGATAATTAGTTCATATCGAATCTTATAAGTTCCTACAATATCATGTCATATATTATTATTATTATTATTACTATTATTATTATTATTATTTTATTTTTATTTTTATTTTTATTTTTATTTTTATTTTTATTTTTATTATTACGTACGTCAAATATAAGTTCGTATAATGATCTGTTCATCAATTCTCTGGATTTATACCAATGAAAAATAAATTCAAATGGTTCATAAGTTCATGTGATTCAGATCAATACAGCACAGTATTCAATACTTTCCATGTTGAGATCTGTTGGTAAGTCAACATCAGTTCATACCACGTCATACAACTCAACTCAATATCCTCTGCCAACATGTTTTTGATACGCTCATGGATCCAAAGAATCCGATGGGCCTGTGCCTGTGCCGCGAAGATTCCGCAGTTTGCTGTACCTCATCTCCGGTTGGGGGCATCGAGGCACCTAAATCCAATGATTCATCATCATGCCCCCGATCGAAGTTGGTAACTTGTTCGGTATACCTTATAATTAATTACTGTACTTATAATTACCTGAGACACTGATATCAGAAGAAACCAAATTTGGCTGTCAACCCGTTGGGTGTCTCTGACAGTTCTTTGGACTCTGATCATCTCAGAGGTTGATAGAGCCGCACATAATGCCGCAAGATTTCAAGTCAGCTATATCAAAAACCATTCCTCCATTTAAAAATGTGTACTGTGTACTCTCGTAATAAAACATTGCAATGGAAAAATACCCCATTTGGTTATTTTGGCTGATTCTCCCAGATAAAATGATGCTCATTTAGTTTGGGGATTTCCCAGTCACGTTGACATCATCACCGCCCCCTTGGGGCTGCACGATGTCGCTGCCACTCTGGCTGCATTGGCCCAGTGTAGAGCTGCTGCCGCTGCTGAGGCGTCAAGCTCCTTCGGCGCCAAAATTCATCAGTTTTCCCGTGTTTTTTGTCGGGTCACAATTCTGGTTTCAACGGAGAAAATAGTAAAATTGCCCATTTGATTGCCAATTACTACCTTTTTTGGGAGGTTGAATTTGCTTGAGATGGCCCCCCAAAAATATATATATACAATCGCGGTAGATTTCCCAAGTGGTAAATGACCCGTGGGCTTCAGAAAATCTAGAGTAAGCATGACTTTGACAAACTTGGGTCATTTCCGGAACTAAATTCGTACAGCATCCATCTTCCAAGAAATTTGACCCAAGGTCAAACCATCATGACCTGTCATGTGATCAACTCACACAGTGCAAGGTTCCCTTTTTCAAGGTCACAACCTTCGCATGCATGGCTCGAAAAGCATCCCAACTTGGCCCCTAAAGCTTCCTCACTACAGGCCAGTGGCTCAAACAGAGAAACCTGCTGATGTTCCATGAACAGTCAGCCCGTCCCAAAGAATATTGTATTCATAAAATTCAAATTTCAATAGGTGCACAATATTGCACAATCATCACAAGATTCTCAAGTAGGGATAGTCCTAATCCACCCCACGACCCATCGCTGCATCGCTCCACGGGGGCACAAAAGTGGACGTAGCCGCTGGCGTTGCGGCGTTCCTGCACGCCTCCCAGCCACCAATGAATCTGCTGCTGTAGCATTCCTTGATCTCCACTCACCTCGGAGCAAGCCAAAGAGGTAAGGGGGGTAAGGGTACAGTAATTGTATGCAAATGTGATATAGGTGATGCAACCAACAATTTGCGTATGGATCAAAATGGCTCACAAACGGCCCGTTGAAGGTGTTGGTAATCTCTTGCGGTAAGGTCAGATTACCAGTTGGCCTAAACAATACCATAC